TATAATTAGGTTTTGAACTCTCAAATATGGGTATCAAAAGGGATTGATGTGTTGGGTTTGATGCAACACAATTAGGGTATAAACACGACTTGCTAAATAATCGTCTTAAATATTTAAGCACGAATATGACACAAAATTAAATGAGTAACACATGTGTAATCCGCTTATATGAGTCAAAAAATTCAATCAAATTTAATTAAATATATTATATACAGGTCATTTATAACACGTTTATAACCGCATAACCCACTTAATATATATAAAATTATATTTTTATTGTTCAATAGATGATTAGACGAGTTAACCCGTGATACGATCCATTTAAACTCGTGTCATATATGAGTCATCCGTTTATGATACAAATTTATTTAGCTCAATTCTAACCCATTTAATTTATATGTTAAGCGAACCGTGTTATCGCGTCATAGCAAATTTTGAAACTCCTACTCTCCAACCTTACACGTGAGAGGTTCAATTAATTGTTGAGGGCATTTGGCTGCTTCAATCCTTACTTCCCTCCACTTGGTGTAGAGATCATCACTGCACTGCTTCTCTGAAATAAAAAACAATGGGTTTGTTAGCAGCAGCAAACCACAGGCTCTGGTTCATGAATTCCACGCCTTCAATTCCTTTTACCACTGGCCATTTCTCTCACATATGACACACACTCAATAGAAACAACAAATGCACCTGAAATGAGAAGTTAGGCCAACAGTTTCTCATGATACATCTCTCCATACCAGATCAACATTTGCCTTTATATTATAAGATATATTTATAATATATATATATATATATATAAATCATTTAACATTATATATAGAGCTATGGAAAAGAATAAAAAGACGGAAACTGGTGCTAGTTTCTTCCAAATGCCGCTTCACTATCCTAGATACACCAAAAAAGATTACCAGACCATGCCGGAATGGCAGCTCGATACACTTCTTGCCGAATATGGGTTGCCCGTAAATGGCGACCTGGATTATAAGAGAGAGTTTGCAATGGGTGCATTTCTTTGGCCCAATTCTTCAAATGATGACCAAGAACTAAAAAATTCATCGCATCGTGTAGCATCTAGTACTAGTAAGTTATTCAAGATTGTCGAGTTTTTATACAGCGCAGGGCATCCTTAAATTTTTCAGTTACGTCTCCTCCCAATCCCTTTGTAGTATTTTGTAGCTGTGTACTCCATCTATGTAATAATATTTGAATAATTTCTATATAATAACTGGATAATTATTATTTATTATATGATTTTGAAATGAAATTTGAGCTTATGCATCTAATTTTCTTCTGCTTGAATGAAAAATATATAAGTAACAATTAATAATTAATGGCTTTAAATCTCCAGCACAATGTGTCTATTTTTTGGATTTAAATACTTGGTAGTAGAATTTTGCTTCCCATGCATATCCTTTTCTTCGTCTAATTATATAGTATAATATGAAATCAGAGAAAAAAAAAAGTTAAAATTTCAAACACCATATAATAATATTGTTGATATTATTAAATCAAATTAATATATTATATTCTTATCATATTTAATACGTATTTTATAACCATTTAAAATTAAACTACCTAACTAATAAAATTAAAATCCTTAAAGATATTATATTCTTACCATATTTAATATATTCTTATTTAGTATATAATATAATTTCTTAGTTTATCCAATAGAATTTAAATTTAAATAGAAAATTAATATGACAAATCAAAACTAAATTAATTTTATTTTACACTCAATAAAATTAAAATCCTTAATGATATTTTTTTTTCAATATATACACTTAGCAGAGACATTTTAACAATTCCGATATTTCCCTCCCATTTTCACTTTATTTATAACTATTGTCTAATGACGTGCATTGCACGGGTCACTTTTTGTTGTAAATACTCGTTGTTTAATTTGTATTTTTTTTATCATTTATCAATAATCTATTTTTCTTTTATCATATACCTAGAAATTCACTTTATAAAATAAATAAAGTCTACAAGTTAATGGGTGTTCAACGTACTTTTAATAGTGAAAGTAAAAAAAAAACTATTAAAATATATAATAATACAAATAATGGAGTAGTGGTGAATTTTTAAATTTTAGAAAAAGTGAACATTATATGTAGTAGTCATATAAAATGAAACAGGATTATAATTCTAACATAATAGATTGATTGTGTAGTAAGAAAAGACACAATTAATTGTTTTTAATTTATTTCCTAATAAATAATTATAATATAATTAAATATTTTTTTTGAAGAAATCAAACTTGAAATTTCATTAAGAGAAAATTGTATACAGGAATACAAATAAAAATGTTTCTATATTTTTGTAAAGCAAGTCTAATAATAAACCACTCATATAAAAAATAAAAAATACAACTTTAATTTGATATATCCGATTAAGTTGACAGAGCATAATCCATGTGTCATAAACAATCGCTCACTCCACTTGGTGGCTATTAATGGTCACTATTCGACTCTATGGTCTTTCTACAAGTTTGATCTGATTATCTTCAAATTTCTTCCCTCTATCAAAGAGGAGCTCTACACTTTTTTCTGTATAACTGTCCAAATAATAAAATGTCATAAACAAAATCATTATAATAGAGATAATAAAACTCAAAAACTGTCAAACGACTAGATCTGAGAACAATATCCCAAAATATGGACAATAATAATTCCAATATATGGATAGCATCAACTCAAATCTGTATCAAAAGATACAAATATGAGGATTATTCAAATCCTATGTTCTACTGTATTTAACATACACACGTTAGTTAATATAACTTATAACATAATTTTTTATTTTATCCAATATAATTTAGATTTGAATAGGAAGTTAATATAACTTATAATCAAATTAAATTAGCTTTATTTTTTCAATTAACAAATTAAAATCCTCAAAAATATTATATTTTTAGAATAATTAGTACATATCTTCTTTATTTTTCAGCCAATAAAATTAAAATCTTTAAAATACATTACATTATTACCATATTTAATATATACCTTACTTATTATATAATATGTTTTCTTATTATCTTAATATTCTTTCCCCATTCCACTTCTTTATATATACTATGAACTATAGATATTTAGGGTATTTGAAGATTATTATGCATGCGGGAAATAAAGAACTGCTAAAGAAAAAAAAAAAAAAATCTAAAGTGAATGATTTGTAAGTTGTTGAGTGTTTAATTTTTATGTTTTGAATGATTTATTGATTTTTATATTCAGATTTTCAAATGGCTCCATATTAATTTCTGTTAATTACTAGATTTACAAGTAGCAATTTATAAATTGATGCAATATTGTGTTAATCCAATTGTAAATTTATTGTTTAAAATATTATAATGGTAACCATATATCTCAATTTTAATTATCATCGAAAATCCATACATCATGTTATATCTTTCAAGTGATTCTTCGTTCTTCTTCCTTTTGTTTTTTATTTTTTAAATTTATTCACATATATATTTTTATATTTAAACTGTCTAAATATATTTTATTTTTTCATTGATTCAATATAAGTTAATTTCTTTTGTAAGATAATCTTCTAGTTAAAGGGAGATTTTTATTTTTATTTTTATATATGAAGGGAAAATTTAGAAAATTAATATATTAAATTCATTTTTCAGAGTATTTCAATTGAATTAGTAACTAGATAGTTTATATTTGTACGCGTAGACATAACCTAATGATATATAATTTAAAGAGACTAAAATAATTTATACCATAATACTGAAATTATTACCAAAAAATTAAGAAAACATGTTGTATTAAAATTAAATTGGGACTCTGCATTCTATGATTGCTTGGGGACTACAGTGAATTTCCATCTCAAAAATCTTAAGCATTAATTCGTAGATTCTCTCGTAATATTTTGCAATAATTACATAATCGTAATTAAATCTTTTTATCTATTTTTTATTGAAAAAAAAATCCAAAATCCTTCTTTAAAGGATTCCTTGTCATAAACGGTAATAAATTAATAAATAATCCTCTCCAAATCAGGAAAAGAGAGAGTAAAACTCTCTATAAATACTTAATTAAAAGGAGAAGGTTCAGGTAATCTCCATCTTCTCCAGTGTAAGTCGGTGTTAGGTCAAAGATTTTCTCATTCTTTTATATGCAGATGCCAATGGTACTATATGGCTTTTTCTGCTTTGGTACTATATGGCTTTTTCTGCTTTTCGTCGATGAAGAACGTAATAGAGCCATGAAATTACAGTTAATTGCTTCTCCTTGTATAAGCCATTGTTAGGTCCAGAATTTTTCTCACTCTTATTTACGCAGACAACAATGGTAGTTGGTGGGCTTTCTCTGCTTTTCATGGAAGAAGAACGTGAAAGAGTCAAGAAATTACAAGAGAATAAAGAAATGCCTGCTTCGAAATTTTGCGCAACAAGCAACAAGAAGAAGATAACAAGAAAAAGAAACCGAGATGATTGTCATTATACTTTCAGGATTCCTTTGCATTATCCAGGATTTTCTGAGGAAGAAATTTAGGACATGGAAGAATGGAGAATTGACTTGCTTCTTCAAGAATATGGGTTGCCTGTTCATGGTAACTTGGATTTTGCAATTGATTCTTTACTTTGGTGCTCAAGACAGAGTAATACTGCTGCTTCTTCTGATTCCACATATAGCTGTCCTCAAGAATCTGCTTCTCATCAGGAAAAGAAGTTCAAAATCGTTTGTATTAGTTTTATTAGCTTTCTCTTTCACGCATTAAGGATTGCATAAGTGATGTAGCCTTCTATGGTTTGCTTAAGTTATGTAGCCTTCTATGGTTTGCTTAAGTTATGTTTAATTACTAAATAAATATCATAAGCTTAATTAGTAGTAGTTTAGGACCTTTATGCATATACGTATGAAGAACTTCCGATAAACAAAAGAATTTCAATATCTTTGATCAAGATTATTGATTAATATGTATAGTTTATGTTGAGTAATAGTTTAATTTTAACACAGACTAAAGAAATCTTAACAGATTAATGCAGTGAACTTTAAAAAACCAAGATTATATTACAATTCTGATTACATCCTGTTTTAGTTTAGCAAAATCAAACTAGCCTAAGATTCACATTTCGTGCCAAACAAAAAGAAATAGAGCCTGTTAAACTCTGAGAGTAATTTTCTTCTTTCTCTGTTAGTTCCATCGTTGGCCTTAGCTAATTTCTGTGTATCCAAAACAGAAACAAGCTTTTAAATAATTCTTCCCTCCAATTTTAGGACACATCACATGAAAGCCAAATACAATATAATAGTAGCTAAAATCCGCCATAGCCACTATCTTTAAGTTCCTTTGATTAGAGGATAACAGTATCTAACACTTCCATGCAATGCAACTATATATACATTCTAATACCGCCTCCTCAAACGCCTGGCATTGGGATTTACTGATTCTGCTGCAGCCCCATCTGTTGCTAGATCTAGCCCATAGATGCTGCTCCCACTCCTCTTCCGACCTGACTGATTTGAATTCTCATCTCCTAATGCAAATGTCTTCAGCATCTCACACAACAATGCCGGGCAGCTTTCTTCTAAGTGCCGGAATCCTTCTGATTGCATTACCGCTGGAAAACAATAAAACATAAGATCAGTTATCAGCTTCTCCATATGAAACAGTAAATGTACTGAATAAGGGGGGACCACCGCCCTAGCTTTGTTACATTCATGCTTAAATAAAGGACGAACATACAGCTATATTCCTGGTTCGCAACTATATTGATTTCCAGTGGCAATGACAAAGATGCTCAACAGAATGTGCTGCATACATTCACATGATGTAGTGTTGCAAATTGGAAAAAGAAATACTGAAAGCATTTGCATCGGCAGGCAGAATGTTGCCGCAAGAAAACTAACATTTGACTTCCAAAACCATAGAAAACAACCACAGTCACCCATGTATTGAGCTCAAATCTCTATTCATGGCTCTAGACACTCAAAAAACCAAATACCTAGTCTGGTTAACACATATGATGTTAAAACAGGCATGTTTCAATCATATGATGAATTTCCTACTGGCACAAACAAAACATATCCCTATTCTTGCAATAGCAGACCCAAAATCTTATAGATAGGATCTGCTATCCTCCACCCTTTTTTCAAGCCAACAGTACCTAATTTCTCTTGTCTATCAACTGCAATATTGTTCCTTTTCTTCCTCTCTCATCTACTAGCAAACAATACAAGATTTATTTATTACCTCACCCCATAGCATTTGAGATGGTAAAATGTTGATTATTATGATTCTTACAACTTGAACAAATAGTTTCTCACAACCACAGACAAGATAACCAGCATCCCACTTCAATATCTTCTTTTACTCTAATCTCAGCTTGATTCTTCACCTGAAAATCATACTTTTCTCATTTCTAAATCAAAATGCATGCTGTCACATCATAAATCATCTCAACAAAGTGGACATTATGGGATTTTGTATAGCTGATTGTGTCCTTGAATGGCAGAAAGTAAAACTCATCCTCATTGATATCTAAAAACAATGAAACCACGATTATCGCATAAGTACGCATGGTTCTTTTTGTTTGCTTTTTGCAGTGTATATAGACTGATTTGGATTACTTTGTGCCATGTGATTTTCAGAATGGTCTATGTCATTAAGAATGTTGGAGATTAGTTTGGAACTGACAAAATGATAAGGCAAGCCATCAGTTTCTCATCCGTCCAGGTTGGTGTCAATCTGCCATTTCATCTGTTGATTAGTTTGAAATTATGCTCCAGACCAAGTCAACCCAATCATGCTCCATATCCAAGTCAGTGCAACATAGTGCACAGCCATATGAACATTACAAGCGTACCTGTAATAGCCATATAAATATCCACCTATACATAGAGGCGAGCATTCAGTTCGGTCTATTTTGATTCAGTTTTTCTTGATAATTTGGTTCAGTTCAGTTTTAAAATTTAAAGTCAATGATTTTCAGTTTTTGGTTCGGTTTTTTATGAAAACAACGACCAAATAGCCAGACATACTGATATTAAAAACACACCGTTTTAACTACATATCCTAGATCCCTAATTACTTAGGTTTCCTACAGCCTTCTCATTTTCTGATTCCCTAAGAGAGCTGAGACTCTCTCTCAAAGCATCTTCTTCTCCAACTCTGTTCTCAAACCAGGTAACACCATCTTCACATTCTCTCTCACTCTTCACTCTCTTTTTTACAAATAAATTTTCCTTTCTTTTTATTTCTCTTCCTTTTCAGTTTTCAACACATAATTTCTCTCTAAATAATCAGCTAGTTCAAGCTTTAACACTGGATCTGAGCAATTCTTTCATACAGATCCACAGATTCTCCGATGTTGGGTCTTTGTGGAGATAAAAGTTTTTAGCAGCTTAATGGAGCTTATTAAACAGACAAGTATTTACTGGGTATGAAAGAATTTTACGAGCTTTCAGATTCCGTACTTCATCTTCCATTTTTTACTCCTTTTTCAAGTTATTAAATCCCGGTGCTTTAGGTTAGTGATTTAAATTCTTGAGAAAATTCAATTTCCTCACTAACTTGGGTAATTTTTAGATTTTTTTAATTTCTCATTTTTTAAATTCATGTAGAGAAAAGATCTGGATGATGAACTCATGACTCTTGCTTATAATTGAATGTTTCAATACGATTTGAAATTCTATTACTTAAAGGAGATGTTGGGTGAAATTGAAGAAATATTGCCATCAATTAAAAAGAATGTTGTATGTTACTTTGACGATGAGTTACTGTCAATTAGTATTATAAATGATTGTTTATGGTAATTATTTATCTGTTTTATTGTATATTTGAAGGTTTCATTGTATTGATTATGTGTTTCGCTTTGGATCTATGTAGTTGTGTTTTTGGATTTTTCAGTTTTTTGGTTTTTCCTGTTTCAGTTGAATTCAGCTTTTATCTTAATTCAGTTCAGTTTACCCCTTGGGTGGTTTGGTTTATTCCAATCAGTCAGAAAATTGATAGAAAACCAATCGAATAAATGGTTTGGAGCCCATTCCTTTTTATTTCAGCCTAATGCATAAATTTGACTATACACTTTCGGTGATTATCTTTGTGGCCCCCTGAATTTTGCAGGGGACCCATCATAACCATGCATGTTCACATTCAGTAATAACTATGCTTCTCGCTAAACTAAAATGTTAAAGTGCAGGATCATCATTGAACCCTTGCAATTTTGTTTCATTTTGGCTGAAATGTGAAAATGCAGGGTCTCATGAATGAACCTCCGCAAAGTTCAAGTGCCACAAGGAGAATCGGCTAAAGTTCAAAGTCAACTCTATGCATTAGGCCTTTTTCTTTCCCTTGCTATGGGAAACCAAAACCAAAGAGCGAAATATGGCACCCATATGGTGGAAAATTGGAAAAATAAAAAAAATGAAAAGAGGAATTGAGATTTTGGGAGAATCTATAGATAGTAGCTTGAAAGATAAGTGGAGCTAAAGTTTTCATACGAAGGCCTCGCAAAGCATAAGGCATTTATAATTTTTTATGCATTTATGCACCTATAATATGAACATAGGCACAAGAAAATTCATTTACATAATGTTTAGTCTAAATGAATTAGAGATTTGGAATTCATTCAGAAATAAATTTGTGTTTGGTATGATAAACTTAAAATACAGAATTTAATTGAATTCCATATAGTTGATGTCTGGTGCAACTTCATAATTCAAATTTATTTATCCTCACTTCCTAAATAACCCTTGATAATAACATTAAAAAAATAGCTTTGAACTCTATCAAAAAAATCTGATACCAAATAAATTAATAACAATTAACAAACGTATAGATCAAATAACAATATATTAATAAATATAAAATAAAATTCACATGCCATATAAAGTAGGAGGTTTAGATTATCGATGTGCGCATAATAAACTTAAACATTAAGGAGTTAATCTAATATAAAATATCTAATGTAGCTTTCCAAACCTACAAATAGTAAATAAACAGAAAGCTAATATGCATTTTCCATCTCTTCTTTATCCAATGGGTTTGATATGAACATTTTAGTCCGAAAAATGTCATTCTAATTTTGTTGAATTGAATTCATTTTAAATTCCATTAAATTTAATATAATTAATTCCATAGAATTGATTTTTTTTTTTTTTCAAACAAACACATAAAACATGACTTCAATTGAATTCCAACAATTTTTTGGAATTGATTTAAACCAAACATAGTGTTATATTTTTGTATATTGGAAAACGCAAAAACAATGGAGTTGAAAAAACCTGGCATCTGCAATGCTCAGTACCTAAGAACAACACGCACCTCCCAAGTTTGCAGGAGTTGCAGCAAATTTCAAACAGATGGCCCTAAGCTGCGAACACTGATGCTGCTCAGCTAATGCAAGCGTCGTCGCCACTGTCTCAGCACTCAGTTCCTCACACAACTTCGATTCACATAGCAATTTCAATCGATCTAAATTGTATAGGTCAGCAGCAGCCAATAGATGCTGCACCATATTGGTGGATGTGCACATAGACGTCGTGCCAGTAATTTCATGTACATCAGGAAGTTTGTCTGTGTATACGAATAGTAGCATTGCCTACAAAAAAAAAATGTTGAGGTTTGAATAAGAACAGTGTGGATATTTGAAGAGAAATTATCTATAATGACATGGGTAAATTATAAAAGTTCATCTATATGTATATAGTAAGCTGATGACAGATTTATTGTTGAAAGTTTGAAATGCATCAATGAGTGATTATTTGGAGTCAAAGAGGTATAAAATAAATGAGATTTTGATAAAGTACAAACCTCTATGCATAAACTCAAAGACAAAAAATTTTGAGGAGTTGGGACCAATTGGAACACCAACTATACAATAAGAATGTCTTGACCAATTGGGTTGGTATGAAACCACTTATTCTATGCCCCTAGCATATCTTTACTAATGAGAAGTATAGGAGAAGGAAAGAGCAATGGGGAAAAAACAGTTACTTGACAGCTATTTCTTCAGTTCACAGCATATTAACAGCCATTAGACTCCATTAAACAATCGAAGTCAGATTAAATATTTGAAATTTTATATCATATGATGCTTCCTTTTGTTATATAGCCTTATGTTGTCTTTAGAATAAGATTTTGGGACAAAAATATATTAAAATATAGAAGCCAACAAATACAGCCTGATCAATAGTCAAACAAGGATGAAACTTGTTACTAGGACAAGGACAAGAGAACTTGAGGTGCAATAGCACCAGGACCATTTGAACTACTGATAGCATTGACACACATTGTTCTTGACTCAGACATGCACAAGACCCAAGCCAGCAGGCGCAATGACATATCTGGATGGGTTTGTTATGCATGCAGGTAATGATATACTGAATAAACAACCACCTTTCACAGAATTATATCACGACACCAACAGTACTATATTAACATGACCGATAGTCAGGTAGCAAAGATGCCAAAAAATGATGATGAGTGCAAGTGTTGAAAATAAGAAGCTTACCTTGAAGATTGAGGGGTCAATATCCTTCACAACTACTTTATCTAGGTTAGGATCCCCAAAAAGTCCAAAAAACTGGGCCCTGAAAACTGGAGAGCGAGCAGCAAGTATCAATTTATGAGCTTTAAATGTTTCATCCCCAACCTGGAAAGCAATGTCACAACCAACTTCAGATTCCAAGAGTTCTTTGAGGCCCTGGCCCATGTCTGAGGGTGGAATGGTAATAAAACATTGTTTTGGTCCTACAAGACGAGTTCTGACAACTCCAACAGTACAGTTCATGAGTAGGCAATCATCCTTTATATAATCAGAATTTTCTAAGGTCGTCCTTCTAAAGAAACGCTTGTAACCCCTGGCAACAGATTGAGCACCAAAGTCATGTAAGAGGATGCAAAGACATAGACTTCTAGGCTAACAAATCACAACCCACGTCCCATCAACAACCCATGACAATATAGCCCAATTCCACCAAAAAGAAGACCTCAACTCATAAGTTTTAAAAGATGGAATTTGCATGACAACTAAAACACATATTGCAAAAGAAATTAGACACACACAATTACAATTTGTTTATCAAAATTACTAAATACATCATGTACCAACTTAGATTAGCATCATCTGGATATGAACGAGATATTATGTAATCCATATTGCATACACAAAAATGAGGAAATATGAATGCATATGAATAAATTTATAGTGAGCAAGTAAAAGCAGATCAATTCAACCAATTGTATAACCACATAAAGTTGCAACAAAAGGGCAACACAGCTTAAAGTATGTATATATGTGAAACAGAGAGTAACAAACAAACTAGAATGTTAGGATAGTGTAAGACAAAAAGTGAGAATTTAAAGGATAGTAGTTACAGAAGACTTCTTATGTAGCACCATCATTACCCATTTGTAAACTAGTGTTTTTTTTTTTTTTTCAAGCTTTCTATTTCCTTAAAGAGGTAATCCCAAATCCCAATTTCCTATCTCTGTCAATATAAAATGAAAATATTTTATTTATATAACAAACAAAATTAAAAATTGTTCATTCAATCATATAACTCATCAATACTCAGCTCCTGTTAATACCATTAGAACCAATATTAAATGCTCCACAATAATAAGATTGAAGAGTTCCAGTCCCACATTACACACACAAGACCATTTAAAAAAAAAAATTGTAATAAAAAGCAGCAACCACATAGGAATGCGATCACGCTTTCCAAGGTAAGCTGCCATATCAATGTCATTCAGATAACAGCATCCTTCCAGGAACCCATTCCTAAACCATAAATGAAACCATTAACCCCAATCCAATAATCAACCAAATGCATCAAATTCAATCCTAGGATAGTCCGGCTACAGCTTAGAATGCAATACACATAACGAGTAATTAGCGGAGAACATAACAATAGAATAAGATTAATCTTCCAATTTAGCAATGTTCCAAAATTCATGCTGCCAAAGCCACACCTTTAACCCAAAGACAAAATAAAATCACCAAAAACAACTAAATTCACAAGTGTTAACGTAAACACTAAAGTCCCATTTGAGAAAATAAAAAATTAACAAAAAGAAAAAAACTTTACCACATGCTCCCTCTATACTTCAAAGTGTACGGCCCACTCTCCAATGCACGATCAAAGTGGCTATGCACTTTGTGCTTCCCGTTTCCACTCTGATCAACCAACGTCAACTCAAACAAAGCCCTAACATCCGTTCCTTCGCTCGCCAGGGCAATAAAAACGGAAACATACATGGAGCTATCTTCAGGGTTTTTACCATCTGGGTAAAAGTAAATCGCCCAATCGTAACCACCAACCGTGAAAATATCACTCGATATGCATTTCCCAGCTCCCATCCCTTTCGCCAAAGAATATCCCTTTATGGTGAACTGGTGCGACCCGTTCACTGTCTCGTTTACTGATTTCGAACACGACTCTTTATCGAAATCCGCTTTGACGTCGACCATGATTTCATCGAACATCCGATCCTTCACAACAGAGCAAAACCCTACTTCCTTTATCAGCTTAAAGGACAAAAATTCGTCGCATATGAGGTATATTGATGGTAGAAGGAATTTAGAGAAAATTTCGTCGGATCAAAGGGCTATTATAAGCTTACGCAAACCCTAGAATCAAATTCACGGCGAGATTAAATGAATTAGAGCTCGAAAAGAAGGGAATAAAAGAATTGTAGAGAATTGGTGACCCAATTGAACGAATTGAGGAGGATGACCGCGAAGCCGTAGGAAGAGAGGTGATGAAAGAAACCAATAGTGGGGGTTTTAAAAGGAGAAACAGAGAACGAAAGAGTGAAAGGAAACGAGGGCTTTTTTCTGTTTTCCTTTTGCTGTTGAGAATGGCGTTTAATCATTGATTTTATATAAAACGATAAGTCAATTTTGTCGTTTGTAGTGTGGTGGGTTTGGCATCAGAGTTCAGAGTCCGAAGGAAACTTGTATACGGGACGGGGGAGGTTGGGTGTGGTAATTTGTTCTGTTGGCAGTGGAGTACTCTGCACAGTATAAACAAAAAAGCAATGCCAAAATAATTATAATCTGTTATAAAAAAAAAAGCAAATATTATATTTATTAGTAGTTCTTAAACAATATTATACTTTTATGTTAAATTTTTTTTTACTAGTAAATAAAAGATATTTAAAATTAGAATTATTGATACGATCTATTATTTTTAAAAAATCATATTTTTTAATTGTAATTATCTCGCCTCAATGAATTTTATTTTCTATTGAAGTAGTGATGTCAATTTTTTTGTAATTATAATGGATGGAATTTGAATAGGATTTATATTTGCAACCTATAATATATTTTTCCAATAAATAAAATTATATCCTATAATAATATATTGAAATAATAAATATAAAGGAAAAAAAAAATCCCTACAGAGAAATCTACCCACCTGATCCTACCCTCCAAACATAATAATTCAAAACTTAAAATTGAAAGATTTACCAAACACATCAATAAAATTTTCTTAAACAATTGTTCAAAATTAACAGTAAAATAACCTTATTTATTTTAATTTTTGGATCTTTATTAATTTAAAATGACAATATAGATACTCAATGCATTCATCAAATCAATACATATATTTCCCTCAAAAAAAAAAAAAAGGACATTTATCACAAATTTTAAGTTCTAACATAAGAATTTATAATTTTTAAAAGAAAAACACATTATCTGTATTCTGAAAATGGCATTTTAATGTTTATGTACTATTCTTAAAAAAGATTGCATGTTATGACAGAGTTGTTGTGACAGAGTTCCATCCTACCAGAGGTAACACTAGCATTTGCCACCTCTCCACTCTATATATAATCAGTAACTTCACCGGATCACCAACGTAACTACCGCCCGCCACCGACATCACTACCTCAACCAGACGTATCTTCTTCACTGTCACTCACTATCTTCAGCTCACCATTTCAGCTTTTCCCATTATGAAAAAATGAAACTAATACCCTTTACAATTTAACCACCAAGAATAATATCAATAATAATTTAATCTCATAAGTCAAACACCATAATCATAGATCCAAGATCTTTCCTTTATCTGCTAAATTCTCATTAACCGCCATGAAACCTCCCTCTAATGTTGATTTCTTCAAAACCCCACTGGTCCTCAAGGTCACAGCTTTTTTTCTACTCTCAATCACTTTCTTTTATCTGGGTAAGCACTGGTCCTCTAATGGCTATCAGCAACTCATTTTCTTTTCCACCCCACAGGAATCTGTTGCCATGTCACCTAACTTGGACAAGTTCTTTAACATCACAGCTCTTATTGCTCAAAACCAATCCGAATCCCAATCCCAACCTGATAACACCCTAACCCTAGCTCCTCCTCCTGCAATTGTTGAATCTTCGCCGTCTGATTCGAATCAGACGTTTGGGATTATTGACAGTAATGGGAGAATGAGTGATGATTTTGAGGTCGGTGAGTTTGATCCAGAGATTGTGGAGAGTTGGGGAAATGAGACTTTGGTTGAGAGTGGAGACAAGGATCTTAGGGTTGCGGTCAAAAGATTTGATCTTTGTCCAGATAGTAGGAGAGAGTATATTCCGTGTTTGGATAATGTGGAGGCGATTAGGATGTTGAATTCAACGGAGAAAGGGGAAAGGTTTGAGCGGCATTGTCCTGAGAAGGGAAAAGGGTTGAATTGCTTGGTTCCGCCCCCGAAAGCATACCGGCAGCCTATTCCTTGGCCAAGGAGTCGTGATGAGGTATTTTTGCTTTTTCTTGCGCACAGCTTTATTTTGTTCTGTAGAAATAGAAGGAAGGAAAAAAACGAAAAGGTTTTTGGCGGTTTTAGTTAACCCTTGGTAATTGTGTTAGGTTGGATTGAATGGACTTTATTCTTCTTTAAAAAAATAGTGAATTCCCTTCATGTTTTATGCAAAAATCATTGAGCTTCTGTAAATTTTTTTTATTAATCATGCTAGTTATTTGTTGAGTTTGGTGATTCGTATAAATATATCTGCTTGCAGAGAAAGCAAGATTTTCTATGTTGAAACAGAAGTTTTTGCTCGTATAAGCATTAAGCATATTATTGCTTTCTGTCGCTCCACTGTTATCATGATGCTGCAATTACCTGTGCTCAAATTTGGGTTGTTTATTGGATACTGATTAGAACTAGTCAGTCTTGGTGGGTTAATTGGAAATTTAATTTTCATGCTAGTAGTTGAGGACTGAGATATTGTGTATTTAGCTTGTTTTTATTGTTTTTCTTTGGAAATTGATGTGCTTCTTCATTACAGGTATGGTATAGCAATGTTCCTCACACACGTTTAGTTGAAGACAAAGGAGGTCAAAACTGGATTTCCAAAGTTAAAGACAAGTTTAGGTTTCCTGGTGGTGGAACGCAGTTCATACATGGTGCAGATCAGTACTTAGATCAGATCGCCAAGGTTATAAAAGTTGTTTAATTTTTTTTTTTTTTTATTAGGTATATAATGGGGAGTGTGCATTTTGTGTAATGGATGTTTAATATCTCATTATATGCATGTGTAGATGGTTCCTGATATTGCATTTGGTAGTAATACACGAGTGGTTTTGGACATTGGATGTGGTGTGGCCAGTTTTGGTGCCTATTTGATGTCAAGGAATGTATTAACTATGTCAATAGCTCCCAAGGATGTTCACGAGAACCAAATTCAGTTTGCTCTTGAGCGTGGTGTACCTGCAATGGTGGCAGCATTTGCTACTCACCGTTTGTTATATCCAAGTCAAGCCTTTGAAATAATACACTGTTCAAGATGTAGAATCAATTGGACTCGAGATGGTATGTACATTCATTTTGGCATCTAGTCTCTGTGCTTATGAACTGTCGTTGTTGTATATGCCTTGTGCTTCTGGGATTGAGTCTTTCCAGTTACCTTGCCTTTTCATTTCTCTCTCATCCATCTAATTGAAAAAAGTATGAATTCTATGGGGTTAGAATATTCATGGCTAATATGTGTGGTGTGTGCTTGCATGAAAATGTGCAACTTAAGTCACTAATTGTCTTCATCCTTTCACGGATATTTCTGATTTTCTTTTTCTTCTGAAACATTCTGATGAAGATGGAATCTTGCTCCTTGAGGTCAATAGGATGCTTCGGGCTGGAGGATACTTTGCTTGGGCAGCACAGCCAGTTTATAAGCATGAGCAAATTCTAGAGGAACAGTGGGAAGGTATTAATTCAATCCCCAATAAGGAATGCAAAATTTTGACATCTTAACGGACTGCTTAAACTGCCAACCATCCAAGAAAAACAGAAGAAAGAAAGGAACAAAATTTTTCTTTAATTTCATCTCCAGTTTGTTCCCGCTTCCTTACTTGGATCTAACTTATAGCTTCATCACATGCCCATTGCTGCTTTTCCTTTTAAAAGATCATGCATCCACCCAAAAAACTAGCTAATCAACCTGGGATGTCTGTGATACTGGCCAAAACAATTTGCCTGCATAATTTTTGGTGATTACATTATCTTGATTACTTCTGCATTTGTACTTTTTCAGAGATGCTTAACCTTACCACTCGTCTTTGCTGGACACTTGTTAAGAAGGAGGGATATATTGCAATATGGCAGAAACCTCTTAACAACAGCTGCTACCTAAACCGTGAACCAGGGACAAATCCTCCATTGTGTGATCCAGATGATGACCCTGATAATGTTTGGTATATCAATTATCCTGTTTTTGAGTTTCTTTTTTTTTTAGTTTATTGCATCTGTAGTATCTAGGTGCAAATGTTTGTCCCCCTTATCCTTGCTGAACAAACATTTGATATGGAGGCTTCTTGCAAAGGCATAAAAGTAGGTATAAACCAGAGTTTTATGTAGGTACAGTTGACAATTGAGTAAAAGGAAAATATGGAAATGAAAAATTAAGTGCAGAAATGCATACATTTAAGGAACCATGACTTGTATTTCCCCCTAGAAATTCCATTATTTTTTCACAACATGAATTAAAAGAAATGCTGATTGAGAGTAAGGTGAATTGCATCACACATATACTGGATCTAATTTTTATCCAAGTGTGGTTAACTGGCACGCCACAAATTCATCCGACACCTTTGGTTTTCTATAGTACAGCATGCTTGCTGGATTTCTGCATGAATGCTATATATATGGTGCTGTAAAAGACACTATTATTTTCCTCCACCTAATACTGAGAAACTTCTCTAATCCATATACTCTAGGATGTCAGTTGTTCCCTATCTTAGTAAGGTCCCATAAGGGATGCCTCATTTCTTCTGCACTCCGACCAAGAAATTCAGCCTGCAGTAGTTGAATTTCTTGTTCTAATTGTTACCTGCAGTGTTGATCCTCTCTACCATGATCTTGCATCTTGCAATTCGCTATTCATATACTTAATTTACTTGAATGCTACATCTATGATGCTGTGAAGGACACTGTTATTTTCGCCTACCTAAACCTGAGAAGCTTCTCTATTAGACATCTTCTCCAGGACATCAGTTGTTGCCCTATCTTATTGAGATTCCTTGAATAATGCCCTCATTTATTTTTCTGCATTCTGACCAAGAAATTCAGCCTGCAGTTTTTGAGTTTTTAATTTGCTCTCTACCATGACTTTGCATCTTGCAATTGGCTATTCATACATTTAATTTGCTTGTCATGGATCATTGCTGTGTGTTTATTATTTTTTTAAAAAAATTTCCTTTTCGTGGAGCGTGTCTGCAAAAAAATAAATAAATAAATAAAAACTAGTGCTCTGTGGCTAACTGGGTAAAGGTAACTGCCCTCGCTAGGTTCTGTGACAAAATTATTAAAATCCTTTTATGCATCTGAAGTTTTCTCGGTCAATTCCTCTTTTCTGCTAGGAATGTTGATCTAAAGGCATGCATTAATCGACTTCCAGAAAATGGATATGGAGCAAATGTTACAAAATGGCCTGCCCGTTTGTATACTGCACCTGATAGGCTCCAAAGCATACAAATGGATGCTTACATATCCAGAAAGGAGCTATTCAAGGCAGAATCAAAGTATTGGTCAGAAACAATAGCTGGATATGCACGTGCTTGGCACTGGAAGAAGTTTAAATTAAGAAATGTATTGGACATGAGAGCTGGCTTTGGAGGGTACGTTCATCTTGTCTTGAAATTTTCATTTCCAATATTTTCTTGAACTTTATGTAACCTGATGGTTTATTTACTGATTGTGGCAGATTTGCAGCTGCGTTAATTGATCAAGCATTTGATTGCTGGGTTCTAAATGTCGTACCTGTCAGTGGTCCTAACACCTTGCCTGTGATATATGATCGTGGACTTCTAGGAGTTATGCATGATTGGTACTATATGCCTGCCCAGATCTGTCCTGGGATATCATAATGATGATAATCATGAATACCTTCTTTTTTATATATATACTCTTGTTGATCACTAGTAATAGATGCATGTGTTGTTGCATTGCATTGGTTTACTGAGTGTATATTTTAAATGCTTTTACATCAGGTGTGAGCCCTTCGATACATATCCTAGAACCTATGACTTGGTGCATGCAGCTGGCCTTTTTTCTGTTGAAAAGAAAAGGTATGCCTCAGTTTTTGCTCAATTTGTGTTTGGTAGAAAATCTTGTATTTACTACTCTAAGGTCAAGATGACAATTTTCATATGTACCCTTTTCCCTTTGTACAGATGTAATATCTCTAGCATCATGCTTGAAATGGATCGCATACTTAGACCTGGTGGTCGGGCATACATTCGCGATTCCCTCGATGTAATGGATGAAGTTCAAGCGACAGCAAAGGCCATGGGTTGGGCTTGTCAATTGCATGATACATCCGAGGGTCCACATGCAAGTTACAGGATCTTGAGGTGCGACAAAAGACTCTTGCGTCCTTGAACAAATGGGAGTTAAAAAATTGGCTTATGTTTTACTCAAGTTAACTGCAAAGATCAGATCAACCAGACAATTGGATGGCGATATTTAGTAGCATTCATTTCCAGATGGAAGAATTGTTTACATTCTCTAGTCTTTATATCATTGGATTAAAGTTCTTCACTGTTCCATCTTTTCTATTGGGGACTTGCTGTGTGGTGGATGTGGATGCTGATATGAAGAATATGGGCAGCTGAGACGGAGTATGAAAGGGGATCTTCTGTACTTGAGCTGTATAAATTGTAAAACACAGATTTGCTTAAGCATTTGTTATGTTTATTCTTTACTAAACAGGGTAACGCCATAATTTCAATGTACACATTTGCTTTGCTTATTTTAGTCTTGTTTTTTCATTTTTTTCATTTTCCTTTCAAGATAAATTGTAGAAAATAACTGTAAGGGAAAAAAAGATTCGACAAGTTCCAATTTTCTAGTTGGAACATTGGATATAACCTTTCTTGGTCAAATGAAAACTTGATCTATCAACATGAAACTTCTTTGCGTGGATTGTTCTTACCGAAGGATAAGTCCCTGTATGTATCATTATCAGAATGAAGAATTTTAAAAATCAATAATCTCTTAATGCAGGCAAATGCCAAACGGTATTCCAAAGAAATGCATTGCCCTTTCAGGTTCTGAGTGCCTCAAAAAATTTTATGTTCACAGACAACTAGAATTCCATTTTATCCTCCCAGTTAGACATAAACTTTCATGATAATGATTTGTTCCCTTCTCATCCTAAATTCTAGAAGCAGTCATTCATTACAGAGTATTTCTGCTACAGTAACCGCAGACAATATGCTTCAGCCACAAGCCAGAGCATCTGTAAAATATGCCGAAGGCTCAAACAATAGTATGGCATTCCTTTCTGGAAAATAACCCAAAAGGAGAAAAAATGAAGCCTTCTAAGTTCTATCCATCAGATTTTGGTCTCCAAATATGTTGAGGGTTTTGCCTGGTTGAATTTTTTGGATTACTTTCCTGTCTTTGCTTGCTCAAACTGTCAGAATGAGTTTCCTGTCTTTGCTTGGTGAAGTGGATGGGATGTTTTTCCAGTCTTTTCTCGGTGAAATAATTGGGATGTTTTTCAAGTCTTGTATCATCAGCATGACCTTGTCTTCGCTTGGTGAAATGTTTTGGATATGTTTCCAGCCTCGTGGTCTGAACTGGATGCTGATCTTGTGAATTTGAATTGTTGGCATGATTTTCCAGTCTTTGCTTGGTGAAATGGTTAGGATGTTTAATTTGATGATGCACGTGTGATGGTGATGCCACAGCCCTGCTGATTTGTAGATGAGTATTTTGATAGTGCATAGGAGTATAACTTGGGTTCCGCACAGGGTTCCCTGCAATGAACTTTAATATATGTGGCCTGACTAACGTGCTAAGAAGAGAACCCTGATTGCCATTGGCCAAAACAAGCCTCTGGTAGGTCATCTGAAATGCTTCAGATATCCTTTTCAGGTTGCGAGCACTGACAGCCCTTGCAGTATTTTCCGGCTGCTCAAAAGGATCTTCAATCTACAAGATATCATTAGAAGCAGAAACGAAATCAGCAGTAGAAATGGTTGCAGATTTAGGAAGTTTGGGAAGGAGGAAGAGCATGAGAGAAAACGAGAGAGAGAATTACAAATATTGCATATGTTCTGGGTAACCATCTCATATTGCTTTTTATATCTAGCCACTGTCCCGTGAATGTGCAAATCCCCAGCTCTGCAGCCTTTGAACTAATGTCACAGAACTGCAAAATATACAAAGGAAGCATATTACTTAAATTCACATGGAATAGGACAGAGCACCTGCAATTTTCAGAACTAATGGATTTTTCCATTTTAATAGTTCCGATAGTTATTAGCATCTATGAAATCCGTTCCTATCTATCGGAAAGCAATTGATATTGTTAAAAGATGCAGTATATCATCACATCATTGTCATTTCAAAGCATATTAAGAAACTTTGGCCCACAAGAAAAAAGAAAAAATAGCACAGTAAGAAACACATAATCTGGACATAACCAGGCATGCATATATACAACTCAAAACATGCCTCAGATTTGATCCAAATGCTACAATGTATTTATACTAGGCGCATATAAAGAAAATTGAAAGGTGGTGAGAATTTATTACCTTCGCAAGGAAAGAAATGAAAAGCTCAGAAAGGGAACTTCGATTGGCTGCCCTGTATTTGTCTGACATATACCTAGATATGTTAGCATTACATATTTCTTTAATGCGTTTCTCCGCAGCAGTCCTCACACCTGCACGAAACATATCAGATTAGAGGCCATAACAGTTGTCGTTGCTTTACAAATGCTGCTTTAGCACAGACATAAATAAAGTAGATCACAACATTGTTTCTTGCATAGGAACTGTAAAAGCAAAATCCCATTATGCAATAACTTCAAAATGAGATAAACTCAACCTAAACGAAGGGAAGCAGGGGTGGGAGGGGCATTATCTTTAAACGATTTAATGTTGATATCTATTTAATTTGCGGCAAATGGAGTCATTAACAATCACAAATGCTCAATTAAGGTCAGTTCATGAGTTCATTCAGATTAAATATGAAGAGTACCTGTAAGATCATCAACAACATTTCTTGGATAAATTTCTCTAAGGGGAGGTAAAATAGCAGGCACACATGTCTGCAAACAAAAGTGTACTTAGAAAAACAAAACAATATCAATTCATGTCGATTAATAGTATCTGCAAGATCATCAGATGAAAGTTCTAACTACTATTCAGACCTCACATGAAGAAAAGAAAAGATGTTGAAAATAGGAAACACAAAGGAAGAATTTATTTTCTCCTCTGCACATGTATGGGGGAACAAAAGAAAACTTCAGATTATTTGCAAAATGCTTGGAATGATTTAAAAGGAATATGAAATATGATCAACAAAACTGAATAATATGATTCAAGTCTTAGTTCATAGAAGTAGCCAAATGTTAGAGAGAGGGAGAGAGATTAATAGCCAAAAACTGAATAATATGATTCAAGTCTTAGTTCATAGAAGTAGCCAAATGTTAGAGAGAGGGAGAGAGATTAATAGCCAACCAAAGTGATACAGAAAGCTCACTTCTAATTCCAACAATATTTCAAATATTAGCGTCTGTAAAGATAAATAATCACCTGAAAATGGAATACAACAAGTAAACTGAGAGAGTATGAGTTCAATGACCCAGCCTTTGGATTATTGATATTATGAGATTTGGCCCATTCCTTGACCTACAAAAGCAAGAAATTACATGAAAAACGTATAACTTCCCTAGGATAGCATATGTTTGGCTACGAGAATTTACCAGTAAGACCATATCACGAAAGCGACCATCTATCTGATTGATCCAGAACAAGAAATTGGACTTCATTTGTCCCTGTAAATTGTCAATTGAAATATCACAAGAAATGCTCTGGCGGCCACTCTCAAATTTTAAGATAGGAACTCTAGCATTTGGGACAAACTGTAATCTGCGCCATCCACCTGCAGTCCAAAGCCATAGTCAGATATTAAACCGTAAAAGGCATCAACTTACTGTAAGGTTCTGTGGTCATCAACCCTAACAATGATGTCTGTTTGGTTAAAGAAAGAGTAGAAAAGAGAAAGACACACACACACACACACGCACACAGAGAATTTTGAGAAGAGAAGAGGAATAATATTCATTCATTCATTGTCATTTTGCTTCAAGACATTTCACTTAGATCCTCATTACAAATAAATCCACCTAAGCTGCCAACTCAGCTATACATAATAGCAAATCAGATCAAAGTCATTTATAAGGGACAAAATTTCCATTTAAAATCAATTCAATCAAATTGTATTATCATTTGATCCCTCTTATTCCCTCTTATTCTACATAAGTCCTAACACTTACTCTCACAGCCTTCCTTCCCATAATGAAGGGATTCATTACATAATTAACCACTATTTAAGTATTAAGCCTACAGTCAATCAGCATTAGAAAAAAATAAATTCACTTTGTTTTGGAGCACAAATTCAATAATGGGCCGAGACAATATATAAGTTCCCAGGTTCCACTAAGAACTTGATCAGATGATTCACACCAATATAAATGAGACACCTATACCAAGCTTCACAAGTAATCTCTGACCATTATCTTCAATTTGTGAAATTACTGTGATACAAAAGTAGTAAATTGAGAAGTGAAGAAAGTGCAATAAAGGATGGAAATATTTTAGTCAAATTGTAGTAAAGGAATAACAGGAAAAAAAAATACTAATCTTATGCAGGGGACAACATGGAATTCAATAACCTTTCTGCCTCAAAGCTCTTAGTAATTCTCCAAGTAAGTTCTGTTTATGCTTCTTTCCAGCAGATGAAATATATGAACCATTTGATAGCACAACAGAGATATCCAAGTCTCCCCATCGAGTGAAGAGATTGGAAACAAATGAACCAAATGGCTCCACTGTTGCACCTGTTTGCACCAATTAACTCGTACTTCAATACAGTTAATTACAGAATCTTTTACATATGATAACAATCATAGTGTCAAACTGAAAAATAGATAAGAAAAAAGTAAGGTGGATAGATAAAATAACTAAATGGAATGCATCATTTTCAAATATTTGTATGAGTTGCATGTTTTCAATGCAACGGGCAAGGTAGAAGAAGATTAAGAGGAAAACAGCATACTACACAAGGTTTCTTAACCAATGCCAAGTTTTATTTCCCTTCAAACCTATAAAGCTTAATTCAAGTTCCAACCTTTGCCAGAAGTTTTTCTTCACTAAAAATACTCAAGTTCAAAATAACAGTTGAATGCTTCTTAGCAAATTTATATTGTCTACAGATGAGAAAGTGTGAAGCAGCTACAACCAATCCAAATACAACCTCAAGAACTAGAAGAGAGTTTAAGCCATCAAGAAATGTCAAACTATCATATTTATATGCAAGTCAAACTACAACATGGATGCAAAGGGATCCTGACTTTACATAACTTTGCATCTTAAGATTGAATAAATTATGAAAGCACAATAAGCAGTTGCTAAATTTAAAGAACTTTAAAAGAGAAGACACTTCAGAATTCATGACACTGCAAATGTCAATTATTGTTTTCAGAAGAAGAAAGTCTTCTTCTATGGTTATCTGTAAAATAAGTTGAAAGGAAAATTTTACAGAATGCCGACATCAAATGTTTCCTTCCTGTCATATATTCAAACACCACCACATTGTACCTCTAAGAGACTCAACAGATGAAACAACATCTTTTAACTCTTCTATAATTGTAGATCGCACTGCCCAGTCCTCTCGTAAGGGTTTAATAACCTCAAGTATCTCCTCAAGAGTAGACTCCAGCATTCTGTCTGCATTCATTTATTGTTCACTGTTTGATAAAGCTGAAGATACACAAACACTTCAAAACTCAGACGGAAAACCAAACTATGGCATAAAGCAGAGACCAACATAACAGCAAGAGGAAGAAGTTAAGTCCAATCTAGAAATGAGAATTTCTTTACGATTGAAATGAATGGAATGAGAAAAGCATCTTGGAATATTTGAAGCCTAAAAGATCCTCGAAGAAACTATCATAACCTGATACTTAAAGAATTTTCACACAATAAAATATTGTATAAACTTGACTTAAATTTGTGGATGCTTCTAGATAAGTTGAGAATCTAGTGTTATTATATAAAGGATATAAAATAAATTAGAAAATATTAACACATTCTCAATCCAAAACCGAATAATATTTCTAAAGTAAGAGAGTTCAACATAAAGGGTAATACAAGATGTGACATCTCTTAATTTATTGAAGTTTGAATGCTTGCAAAACATCAAAAAGTATCTAAAGCTGGTGTCCACAAGTCAAAATATTTTATCCTCTAGCTCACAAAAAGAATAAAGCAACACCTATATCCATGAACTGTCCACTAAATAAAAAATGTTAAGTATGCAGTCACCTGTCTTTCTAAGTAGATAAAGCTATTCAAAGGCGAATATTGTTTTTTCCCTCCAACAGAATAGCTTTGTTAAGTCCATTATGATGTAACAGACCCAAAGTGTGAACAAAGGCGACCTTGTAGGTTCCTTTGAGCCATCATCATAATAATGATAACAATAAAAACAATGTAGAGTGGACCAACTGAAACAACAGAAAAAAGCCTAAGAATACAAGTTCAAACTAATCTCGATACAAGGAAAAAAAGAGCCAAACAAGCGTCTAAATCAACTTCCAATGATCAGAACACCTATCTACACAGGGGAGGAATATCATACACATTTTTGTTTTTAATATGAGAGTTTTTTTCGGAATGCCAGAGGCACATGTTGTTTCTTTGATCCATTTAGTTTTTGTTGGAGAGTTCTCAGTATGCATGAACATTATCTCTCTTTCGCATGCTGAATAGGTGTCAAGCAAACTCAATCCACGAGCAGAGGAACAGAACTGGGTAAATTACCACCTCTCCTAGCATGTCACTTATGTTTAATCATTCTCTGTTCACCTTGCTTATTCAAAATCCTAATTCATTCTGATTTGATTATTCAAGGTTAATATATTGAAATAAATACCAAAGCCATTAGTTGATTACCATCCTTCTTTATTTTGATAATTCAAAAGTTCATAAGGCATTCTGCTAGAAGATATAGATATCTATACAAAGGAAATATATTTATTTTGTTTTAAAATCTAGCAACCTGAATCAAAGAAAACCTAAACAAAATAAACCTCTTGGTAAAGGCACCATATCAAGAACCTATCAGCAAACATCAAGAAAAGAACACACGACATCCAATAACTATTTAACCAAATTATAACTTTGATCGAAACAAGAAAATTACAGAAAACCCATATCCAAATTGCAATCAATACAAAACCAAAAAGCATCACAAAAATACTACAAGAAAAACTTAAATTTTAAAACAAGAAAACAAATTAAAGAATTACCATGAGCATAGAAGTAGAAATCAACGCCAGCAAGCAGAAACCTTCTTTAGTAATTAACCCTCCCTATTGGCAGAGTCAACCGGGGAGCCCTATAACCAAATTAGACAAAACAAAAGAAACCCAATTCTTACATTGCTTTTCTTTTTCCGTGTTCTTTATGAAGTTCCAATAAAGAATCCTACGAACATACTATTATAAATAAGGAAATACGATAAGGCAAACAAATACGTACTGATACTTCGGGGGTAAGAGCAAGGACAAGTATAGCTTAGCGAGAAGGGTTTTATGCACCTGTCTTTTTCAAAGAGACCTTTTGACGAAGAGTCCAATTATCAATTGATTTGGAGAGACGCTGGAGATAAAGAAGCACAGTGCACAGAGTCAAAAAGAGAGTCAGTCTTGGAAATTTCCTTCGATCAACAATCACTCTTCGTTTCTCTTCTCACGGATGGTAGAATTGGAACAGAATCTGTGACTGGCGAATGGGAAATTGTCGGCACGCCATTCCATAAATGCAAATTTTATGTCCTTTTTTTAAATATGTATAGGATATTTTCAGAGAGGGATTTTAAATTGAATTAATCAATGTTAATAAGAACATAAATACTATCTTGGAAATTTTTAATTATGATTTTTTTTTACATAAAAAGATTAAATAAGTTGAAATATTTAAAGTTATTAAATAAGGAAACACCTCTATTTTTTTTTACTTAATACTCTATCACATTAATGAAAATATCCCTATTTTATAGAAAGAAATTTATTTAAAGTACTAAAATTAAAAAGGACAAATGAATAAATAAAGATCTACTAAGTTCATATTAGTATTTTTTTTATAATTTTGTCATTAAATTTTATTTTTATATAATTAATTGATATAACAAATAATTAATTTATACCCAACCATTAAATTATATGAGTTTTGGTAAGAATTATGGAAATCTAAAATATGTTTATTTAGCTCTTCACACTAACTTACGGTTGATAACGATTAGCGGAGAAATATCGATGTTTAGTGAAATTTGAACTGCAGTTATTATTGAAATATAAAATGACTCTTAAAAGTGCGCACACATATATATAATATAATATACATTAAATCTTCTCCATCTAATTTTTATAACTATCAAAATTAAAACTTGGTGTGATAAAATTAAAGAAAAAACCTCCTTTTTTATTTTTTTTGTCATCAAGTCTTTCTATTATGGGCCTCTACAAGTACCAGTGTTCTTAAATAATCTCCCATACAAATTAGCTTTCTTTATTGGGCTACAAACCCAATGGGCCTCATAGGTGACCATTAGATTATGTTAGTAACTAGTAATACTCCCTCACAGGGCCCATTTACGTTTTCATTTCCTGATTTTGAACTTTCAGATAATTCCGTTATAAAGAGCAGTTATCAGATATCATATCCTTCTCGTCCTCTGACCTTTTTCCATTTCACCGCAAATATTAGAAAGAAAGAAAACAAATCTGAAATGAATAAAGAGAAGAAGCTACTGAAAATGATATATCTTACGTTTTCTTTTTCTTTTTCATGGACATACATCATTTTTTTTTTTTTTTAAGAATCATATTCTCTATGATTTCTTATATAAATCTTGTCATCTGAATAATTTTATAGCATAATGAAACATATATGATCTTTTATATTTTATACGATGGGTAGCTTAAAATTTAAAGTGGAAATTCAATTTATCATAGCATTATTTTCAGAATATATTTAACATCATGCGCACCGATCAGAATATATATATATCACTGAGTATATTTTATGATTCTCCTGATCGAAAGCTACTCAATAAGGACAGGATTTATTTTATAATTCCTGCCATTGTTGTTAAGGATAGGAATTTCAAGAATCAGAACAGAAACTATTCATGTTTTCTGAATTGGGAATGAGACATGGTTCTTGTTCCAAGCCCCATGGATGTATAAATTGACAATACTAATGTCTGTGACTTTTGCATAATCTATGAGATGAGGAATTTGGTATAGATAAGGACTATATAGAGAGGATTAAAGGGACTAAAGAAATAGAAAAGCTGAGAATAACAAATGAAAATGTAGAAAATAACAAATGAAAAATTAGGTTATATATATGTTTATGATGATGTCTATAGAATGTCTTTCTAATTAGAAGCAGCATAAAGTGGAGGAAATGCCATATTCCTTTATTCTTCACCATTCTATGTTGTGCTTCTCTAATTTGTAGATGACTTGTCATTTTGGTGGGTGTTCCTATGCCTTGCAATATAAAAATTTGGTAAAAGTCATAGTACAAATGATTTTTTTTTTTTTTTTTTTTTTTTTTTTTTTTCTAATAGAAAGCAGCATACACAAGTGGAGGAATGTCCATAGGTTCCTTTATTCTTGACTACCAATTTATTGTTGTGCTTCTCTAATTTGATAGATGACTTTTGTCATTTAGGTTGGGTTGTTAATTCTATTGGCCTTGCAATTAAAAATTTTGGTAAAATTTGAGTCTGGAGTACAAATGATTTTTTTTTTTTTTTTTATAATTTTTTTTTTTTTTTAATTATTTTTTTTTTTTTTTTTGAAATGGGTTTGGTAAAAAAGTGAAAGTACAACACAAAAAAAAAAAAAAAAAAAAAAAAAAAAAGGAAAAAACCGCACAAATTTATTGCCTAATAAACCTTGTTTTTGAAGCACGATCAAATGGATAAATTTTGAAATATGACCTCGAAAACATAAAAAAGAAAAAAAAAAAAAAAAAAAAAAAAAAAAAAGGAAAAACCCAACAAATTTATTGCCTAAATAACCCTTGTTTAAGCAGATCAATGGATAAATTTTGAAATTATGACCTCAAAACATAAAAAAGAAGCACTAAATCATTAGACAGTCAATGGTGTGGCTCTACTCTATATATGTGTTAGTCTACTTGTACTATTTTTTTATTAATTGAAATAATTGCTATTTTGAATATATCCTATGAGAATAGGGTGATATGAGATCGAATGAGAACGATATATGTAATTAGAAATAAAAAAAATAAAATGAACTCAATTGAATATAAAACTGTTTTAGGGGAAGAAAGATGAAGAAGGAAGAGTAATCAAAGGTGGTGGCTTAAATAGAATGAAAATGATGTGATGGATCTGAAGCTCAAATCAATTAATTATTAATCTCTTCTTCTTTTTCTTATAAAATCGTAATTATTATTACTTCAAGGACTGCTCTCTTTCTTTCTTCAACTTCAGGCAAGTTGGTGAAATGAAACCAAAGGATTCATCTCAGATAGATGCTTCCTCCACTAAGCTATCACAACATTGGGTACGTTTGCTTTTCAATATTAAAATATAGCTTAAATTGAAAATGTTGCACAAATAGCATATTTTCAAAAAAGAATTACTACTATATGTATATCCAAATATTCAAAGTTTGACCGAATTATTTTGATTTTACCAAGGGCACATCGTGAAATATTAGTTGTTTCGGTATTTATTAGCTATTATATTAATTGTTAGCTATTAATTATTGGGTTTGTTCGACAAAATTAACTGTTTTGATAGCTGTTAACTATTTACTGTTTGAGTAGCTTTTCATAAAACGCTAAAAAGCTAAATGTTCTATGAGTTAACTTTTTATAAACGCTACATTAACCTCTAAAAGCTAATTCAAACGTTATGTTACAGAACACTATAAAAAATATCATTCAACGTTTTGACTAAAAGCTATTTAAAAAGTTATTGATAAATACATCATTAACTTTCAGTTGGTAGTTATTTATAGAGCGCTTTAAATTAGAAATGTTCGTAAAAATATATATTTAACTTAAAATGACAAAAACGACATTAATTATTTAATTACCTGAATTAAGAGAAAAAATAATGGGCAAACAAATTTAACTAAAAGTTAATTGTTAAACATTAGACCGTTTAACGTTTGATAAAAAGTTTTCTTTAATCTCTAAAAGTTATATTACCGAATGATACAATTAACAGAGATGGAATTTTGACTTGATCAAAATATTAAAAGCTAGCTTAAAAGCTATTTTCGAACATAGACTGAATGTTAAGTATTTATCGATTTTACTATGATAGTATTAGTTAAAGTATAAGTTGAAACATAATGACATGAAAATTCAGACAGATAAATTATTTGTCAAAATGATTATTTTAAATAAAAATTTGGAGAATATCAATTTGGGAAAAGCTTGAGTTAAAATTTTAGGCAACATTAGAGAATAGTCTGATTCCTTCAAAACTGGCCGAATAAGGTGAATTTTCTCATATCAAGAATTTGCTATTGCACCCAATATAAGCAGTTTGGAGCCCACTTTGTCAACTTCTCAAGACGTAGGTCAAGTGTGTACTCCCAATCAGCCAAATAAGGCAAATGGCCGACCGGTGTTAGGTCTACCCTACAAAACAGTGTCATCCCATGTGCCTAACTAACCAATTCAACCAAAAAGATGATAATAGAATAAAAACTTCTCCGTAAAAGGGAAAATTACAATATAGTTTATATATTTTGAAAAATACAATTAATTCGTTCTAATATTTTTGAAAATAAACTTTTTTTTTTTGCTTTTGTTATATTAACTGGTCTTTCCGTCTAACTTTTATATCTTTTTTGTTAACTGCTTATAAAATGATGAAAAAATCTCTTTTATTTATTCTCCCTATTGGTATATTTTTAAAAAACACAAGGATCGATTAATTGTATTTCTTAAATCATTGAGACTGTATTATAATTTTTTTAATATTAAAGTTTTAATATCTCTTCTTTGACTTTTGTTTTTCTTATTTTCAATAGAAAAGATATAAATATTAGATAGAAAGACCTAATAGTATAACATAAATAAAATATAAGAAAAATTTGATATGTTTTAAAAAATACGAGAATAAACTAATTTATTTCACAAATTATAAGGACTATATTGTAATTTTCTTCCCTAAAAAAGCCAAAGATTGCAACATATCATGTGTATGAATTTCCCATTTTGGACAAATATAATTTACTGGGGTTACAAATGAATTAAATTAAATCATGTAACGAGTACAAATTGGAATTATTTTTATGACTATTTTTTTATTTAACGGTAATTTAATATTTTATAATAATATTTAACAAATAAAACCAAATTTAAAATTTAAGCATACTTATAAACTACTTGTTCACCAGTTTGTTTATTTAATTAATTTCAAAATTTTTACGTTTAAATATGTTTTTTTTTTTTTTTTACTTTTGCTCTAGTATGTGTAGAAATATTTGTCAAATAACTACCTAAGTTGCTAAATATTAAAATTTATATTGAAAAATCACAATTTTCACAGAAATTAAAAAAATAAGCAAGATTTTGACTTTGTTCTTTTTCTCTTTAAATATTCAACAAATGAAAAAAATTACCTTGAAAATGCATTTTGGTAAAAAAAAAAAAAAATGATACTGCTGGTTGAAAAATTGAAACTGACTTATACCAAAAGGTAAAATAGGATTTAGACATGCCATCAACATCAAAATCTAACCAAATCTAGTACAGCACAGATGATGATGCCAATTCTCAGACCAAAAGCCACGTGTCTATTTTTGATTGATTTAGGTGGTGAGACCCCACCACAAGAATAGGAATCAGAAATAATTATAGAGATCGAAGAAACTCCCATTATCTGCCCTTCGAAAAGGCGACTCTCTTGCACTTATCCACCACATCGCCACTATCTCCAAGTTGACTCCCTCCATTTTATTTCTCTACTAATAAAAATAATTTAAAAAGAGGATTCGGTTTAACACAATGGATCAAATCGATTTGATTCGGTCTGAGTAAATAAATTTTTCTGTGATAATAGAAATGAATCGCTAGATTTAGTTTGTGGTGATCATACTAGAATATTGCCAGCAGGCTCTTTTTTTAAACGATTAAATTCTCTCTCTTTATCTTACTCCTATATCTAAGGTTGGCCATGGTTTGGTTTAAGATCAAAATCGGAATTGGCTAAAAACCAATTAATTTTAGACCGAATGAGAACAAAAATCAGCGATTTCATAAAATCAAAATTGACAGTCCATGGAATCGGCCTGCCCTGTCCGCATCAGTATCGTGAAGATAAGCCTTTTATCTCCTTCCAGGGGCTGCGTAGCATATGGAAGATTTTTCAGTGTAAAAATCTCAATAGATGTGTTTTACGCTACTCAAAATCACAACTAATTAATTCAAGTTTTTGCAGTTAAATGAAATTTTTTATGGCTTAAACCTTTTCCAGCTTTGTTTTTTTCTTCTATGGTATGTGTAATAGTAATACACTTTATGCATTATTACTATCAAAATGTACCAATCTTTTTTAGAAGTTATAATTATATCTAAATTTTTGAAACAGAAATTTTACCATAATTTCAAATATCAATTACATTATTATTAGAGTTTAATTGCAATTACATCTATTGATAAATTTAATTATAGAATAAATCAGTGCGTATTTTTTTTAATAAATGCTCAAATTCACTCATTAACTTTTTATTACATATTCAAATTGATACAAAATTTATCAATATAGGACGTACATATCAGATCTATGTTCAATTTACTCCCATCCTTTTACAATGCTGTTAATGTTGGTTTTAGTGATTACAATTCAGAGACATAGCACCACAGCATTCCACAAAAAACCATTCACAACTTAAGAGTGCACTATTGCATTGAATGAGGAATAGAAAGTCCTCTTCATCTACACACTTTAGAACCATATTCCTCATTTAAATTCTATATTTCATAATTAACGCTGCAAAATTTTTTTGCAGGGCTTTACATATTCACCAACCTCTAAAAGCAAAATCCAAAAAAAAAATTTCCTTGCCTTTTCTTTTTTTTTTTTTTTTTTTTTTTTTTTTTTTTTTTTAAAAATTTTTGTCCCCTTTTCATAAGGGGACGACAAAAATGCAATTGAAGCTAAATAAAAAAAAGATAAACGCCAGGACATATAATATTTTGTAAAACCTTAATTATCACTATTTACTGTTGTTCCTCTTTAAATCAACCACACGACGCTGTATTTGTCCGTGCCTGTGTCTAGCCAAGGCCAACTTAGTCAGCAGATTGAAGCATCCGAGCAGGGCCTCGTCGGAGTTTTTTTTTTTTTTTTTTTTTTTAAATTTTGTCCCCCTTTTCATAAGGACGACAAAATGCAATTGAAGCTAAATAAAAAGATAACGCCATACATATAATAATTTTGTAAACTCTAATTATCACTATTTACTGTTGATTCCTTCTTAAATCAACCACCACGACGCTGATATTGTCCGTGCTGTGTCTAGCCAAGGCCAACTTAGTCAGCAAGATTGAAGCATCCGAGCAGGCCTCGTCGGAGCTCTCAACGGATCCACTACGCACGGCGGCGTCGCTTCCAGGTGACGCCGGTGGCGAAGGCGGCCTCTGAGCACGCAAGCACATCCTTGCGACTCCACATGCGGTGTCGTTTGATACCACATCCCACAGGCCATCACTCGCCAGTATCAGACACTCATCCTCCGCCGTCCGTTCTGTCACGGTTACCTCCGGCTCCGGTATCACATATGGTTTCAAATAATTATCACCTGAAAGGTTAAAACAACTGGATTATTAATACTGTTCCCGCCATAACTCACCACTGCATTGGGCAGTTAAAATTCAAGTTCAGTATTAATTGGATTAGCACACGTTCTTACCAATTGCTCTGGACATCGCCAAAACTCCTAGGACCCTTGCGCCGTCCCAGTAGATTACGCGGCCACCGGCGTCTTGTATTCGGACCAATTCATCTGGCCGATCAGGCTGTGAATTCACCAAAATATTAATGCGTTAAAAGGAGTAATAATTACTTCTGAAACGAAGCATGTGCAGGACGCGGGCCACTCGTTGACCGGAGTCACATGTTTCCCATCAATTTTTAAGTGGCAACGGCAATTTGCCGCAAATTATCCGCGCGTTTTATCTAAAATAAATACTCTAGCTTACATAATTAATTTGAAATATTTCAAGTTAATTAACTATTTTTCTTATTAATCTCACCTTATGATCGGATGAAAGTGGAACAGCGACGCCGTTACGGCAAAGTACGGCTCGAGAATCGCCGCAGTTGGAAACGACTACCTTATCCGGCGTTACAACTGCAACAACAGCCGTTGATCCAACGGCATCGCACTGCGGAGTCTGAAGCTCGCAACGACAGTTAGCGGTCTTATCTACGTCGTTGCACCACTCCTCTACCTCCTTATCCATCTTTGCAAAGCTTCTCTCCATCGTTTCCTTCCATTCAAAGCACTTATCAGCTTCTTTGTTGGAACTTTTGATTTCATCTTTGAGTATCTCGTGTAACCGATCTCTACACCGCATAGCCACCTGATAATAAATCAAACAGCTATAAATTAACAACAAAACTATACTGAAAAACCAAAACCAAATCAGGTAAGAGTTTCATATGTAATTACATGAGAGCAACCGTGACCATCAAACACGCCGAAGAATGAAGTTTTTTCGGCGGTAAATGACGGCTGTATAGAAACGGCATCTTCCATATCTCTTCTTCTACCGCAAACAGAAGTCATGCCAAATTTTGGAGTTTCTTCTGCAACTTCACGAACCGATTTCACAGAATCTGAGCTAATGTTAACCGACTGAATTGGCGAATCTAAACAATCGTTTTGCTCCGCAGTTTTATTTTGTTCACTTCCTTTACACATATCTTGGCTAAATTTGCAACCCTCTAGAGCGTTATCACAATCACGTGACAACGACGAAGGAAGAGGAAGAAGATCGGGCTTTTGCCGTTTCAGCGGCGGTTGTACTGCTGAATCGGCAACGACCTTGAATGGCCGGAGATCTAATCTCCTCCGTCTTGAACCTCGTGAGCTTGGGTCAACTACACCAGCAGCTACCTCGGTCTCACCAACAACTCCACAGCAAATTCCTGCCATAAACTTTCACTTCCGGTCTTTCGTAATTTGAGAACCAATCAACAGTTAATCACCCGAACTTAAATAGCCTCAAAATCTTGGAGACTTCGACTATTCTGTATCTGTTGCCCCAAAAATAACAGTTTCTCAGGAAACAAAGAGGAGACAGAGAAATGAAATGAGATACGAAGATCTTTGGTAACAGAGAGAAGAAGGACCCATTAAAATGGCTTTAAGAGAGAAGCTGGTGCCCCAAAAAAAAAAAAGGGTTTGTCACCTGGGGGCCACACTAAAATTACGGGCAGGTCTGCCCGTCACCGTCACGGGCAATGATCAGACATGTACAGTTGGTTTGACGTCGACATACTGAATACAAGAAAGTATCATCACCGTCCATCTTTCTCTCTCCTTCTCTAATTTCACCACCTGTCTTTCTTTTTAAACCTCGTAAACGTGGCCCAATTGAATTTATACACGGCAGTTGTAACGACCTTCCTTTCCTGACACGCTGTGGTCCTGAGGAGAGATCACTCTTCTCCCTTCCTTATTTTTGGTCTGCTCAAATTAAGTTTTTTCTTTTAAATTTATTTTTTAAGGGGACGTGGTGGTTTTTTACTTGCACTATTGCCAACGATATCACCACGTGGCCAAGATCGTCAAATACGAGATTCGTGTTTGATTCCTCTTTCTAGACGCGCTAGAGCGAGAAACAGAAACAACACTGCTAATTACCAAAACATACACACTTAAATCTAATTTTCCATTATTATTTATGAGATATTTTTTTAATACAATACTTGTGTTTAAATCTTTCACTCTGTCAATTTAATTTTTTTAAGAACTTCAATTTTAGTAGTCTCCTATTTTTAAAAGTTAACAAGTGGAAACGGGTGGTCTGGTTCTGAATAGAAAAATGGAAGATCAAACTTCCCTCTTTTCACCAAATCTTCATTAAAATTTTTTTGACATTGAACCAGATTTATTGATTCGATTCAGTTAATTTTGATCGCTTTTAAATGAAATCACATATTTTATATAAACAAACCAAAATCCGAAATTGCACCGGATGTCTAAATAACCTAATTGAAAAATTAAACTAGATCGCTTTGATCAATTTTTCGATTTTAACCAAACTTTGCTCATAAAATTTAACTATTTTAAATGAGAGTTCAAAAAACATTTTGCAAACTTGATTGAGTTTGATTTATAATTTAGACAAGTTAATTTTTCATCAAATTGATTAAGATCGATGTCAATAAATTTAGAATAACCAATTAAATTTGGTCTGATTGATCTTTCTATCTCTCATAGAATATATAGAAAGTGAGAGGTCTCGAGTCTGAATTTTCTCCACTGTAAAGATTATCATCAATTTGGTAAATGTTATTCAAAAGTGTGGGCAACCCTCTGCTGTTTATAGCTCACAATATTATTCCGATCCATTGGACCTCTTATGTATTCAGAAAAAAAAAGTTTAGAATAAAACCGATTTATGGTTGAACCAACCCTCCTTGCTATTGATTCGATTTTGCCGCTTGGACCGTGGGCCGAGCCGATAGTTTAACAAACGATGGGATTACATATTTACATAGGATGCCATTTTCAATTTAGAATCTACGTTATTTTGCATCGGAGCGTGAGACAACGCTCATAGAGCAGTGCGTAAGAGAGGAAAATATAGTGTATCTGGCTTCTTTTCTGGTCGTTCCAGTTGTTGAATGAAAGTGTATAAGATAGTAATAAAGGAAATTAGGACACGTATATGGACCGCATGTCAATATCAATTGACGCCTATCAGAATATCTGCCGTTAGGCAAATGTATCTTCCGACACGTGGCCGTAAACTGACGTGGAGCTGAAGGTGCAAGTTCCCGTCCTCTCCTGTTCTGTTCCTGCCTCCTTCCTTTCTTCGGTTTCATTCGTTGCGCTTAGACACGTTTCGTGCACTTACGGTTGCTGCTGTCCATTGAATATCGGGTAGGTTTACGTTTTTTATGTACAAATTTGGCCGTCTTATATTGTAATTTTGACACCTGGCTTAAATTTAATTTTGTTTAATGAGATTTAATTAATTGAATTTTGACCTATTATTTATTTTTTTTTATGTGGGTTTAAAATACATGTGTCAAGATCCACTTTTGTACTTCTAAGTTTCTTTGGACTAATTTATTTCTTTCTCCCTCTTGGTTTTGTTAATCTTGCATGTTACTGTTGTATTGAACACGTGGGAGGAGGAAGCTGATTTTTCTTTCCTTTATTATGGTAAGAGTTCTTCAAAAGAAAGAAATCTCAATGTTATGAAATTGAAAAGATATGAAAATTAAATTTGTCAACCAAGACATTTATAACATTTCAATTTGTAAAACAACGAAAGTAGCTACCAAATCTAAAATGAGATATTCAATTTAACACGTAAGAAACACTATTAACAAAAAAAATTTGTCTCATTTTTTATTTTTATTAATCCACTAAGGTTTCATTTGCTTTCAAAATATAACTTATTTTTGCAACTATTTAAAAGTAAAATTTCTTCTTTAAAAAATATTTTTCAAATAACTCATTTTTATATTTAGTTGCAATAAAATTACTAAAAATGCTAAATTTTAATAGTTAAGATAATCGGTATTAATGGCCAACGGTGAAGGTGGTTAGTGGTGGATACTAGTGATTAACAAATTAAAAAAAAAAAGGTGTATATAAGAATATAATAAATTTATTAATGTCTATGAAATATTTTCCTCCTAAAAATGAAAAGTCATTTTTCTTAAAATATGGTTTAATTTTTTCTTGACTAAAAAATAAATTTTCGTTCATTGATTTTCTTGAGCATTTCAAATATCGAAAATATGAAAATATTTTTTAGATAAGTTATTTTTTGAAAACAAACGACGCCTAAATAATAAAATTATTAATATTAAATATTTTAATATATAAAATTATGCTCCAATTTATAAAATTAAGTCGATTAAGTATTTATTAAATAACTAAAAAAATATAAAATTATTAATTTATTGAGGTTACTAGTATGGAGATATGTTCATAATTCTAGTAAAAAATAAAATAATATTAATATTTGAGTAATTGACGAGATTAGTTTCATATATAAAAAAGTATGAGATATTCATTCGTATCATTAAATTTATGATTTATGAATTTTGCCATTTTGTTCATTAAGTATTAATTTTAAAATGGTTATTGGTTTTATTAACTAACAAAAAAATTTAAAAAAAAAATTCAAAGTTGATAACTACACAATTTAAAAAAAAATCTAAATAAATTATGATATTATATAAAATAAATATTCATAAATTAGAATATTCTTAAAGATAAAATTATTAACAAAGAAAATAAAAGAACACAGGAGTGAAGTGACTCCATATGGTTTTTGGCTTTATGCATTGGAAGAACATTAAAAAAAAAAAAAAAAAAAAAAAAAACATTAAGGTATTAATTTTAAAATGGTTATGGTTTTATTAACTTAATACCAAAAAAATATTTTAAAAAAAAAAAATTCAATAGCTGATAAACTACACAATTTAAAAAAATCTAAATATAATGTTATATGATATTATATTAAATAATATATTCATTAAATTAGATATTCTTAAAGATAGAAATTGAAACAAAGTGAAATAATAAAGAACAACAGGGAGTGAAGTGGACTCCATATGGTTTTTGGTTAGATTGCATTGAAAAGATCCATTAAAAAAACAAAAAAAAAAAAAAAAAAAAAAAAGGAAGAAAAATGAAAAAAAAAAAAAAAAAAAAAAAAAAAGGAGAAAAATGAAAATGAAAACACTCATGTGGGTCGAATTGCAAGAAAATGGCCACTTACCTTCCCTTATTGCTAAACAGAGATCTTTGCTTCCACATAAACTATACTTCAAATTTCAATCCCACCCGTCCCAGTGTCATGTGGGGTCACATCCTCGCTTCTCCATCATTGGCTATCTTTACAAGTCGCGGAACTGAAATTATGTGCCACCTTCTTGTAGGGTCAAGGGCAGTATAGTGTGACACGCCAATAAAAACTTGCCACATTAACAATATGAAAGCTGTCACGCATTTGACTCTATCTTATTATGTGACGTAACGGAAACCAGTGCCACGTGACTGCGAAAGCAGAAACAAGTCAGCCACTGGACCTCACTTGAAACTTCTTTTTCAATTAATTAAATCTCAAAACCAGCTTTCCTAAAACCAGCTTCGCTTCAGCTGTTTTGCTCTAACCATTTGTCTTGCTGATACCAGCAAACAGATATTTTTTCTTCTTTATTATTAATGAAACAATTTTCGAGATATTATATAAGTCAAATCGGCAACAAAAATTTTTGTATTTAGGTTGATTTTTTAATTTTCATCAATTTTTTAAATTATATTTAATTAAAAATTTATATTCACCCGTCTCAAAATATAAATAGCCTTTAAGTGATTATCTTGAATATTTTAAGAATTACTCTATTATTTTTTTACCCCAATATAGAATTTTTTCTCATCATTAGATGATTTAAACTAATTAAATATATCGTTTGATATAAAACTGATCAACTGATTTATTAACTGTAAAATAGGTTATCAGATATTTCTTTTTCTATTAAATATATAAGTTACTATTTAATAGTGTAAATTAAAAAAAATCTTTTCAATACAACTATAAAAAAATAAAAATTTCGAAAGTAAATAATTATTTGATAAATAAACTATTTAAAATTATAAAATAAGAATAAATTTTTAACTTATCTTATTGAGTTATTGTTAAAATATTTATCATGTATTTATGTAATTGAAATTATATTATATACACATGACATCTCATGATTTTTAAATTAAGGAAAATAAGGTTATATAAATCAAATATAATTGTATACACTCATAATTTTTTTTAAATAAAATTTATTTGATTTTAGAGTTCATGTAACATAAAAGATTCATATAACATGAATTTTACGATCTTTAATTTGTAAATTGGAAATTAAATGTAATTAATATGCTTTTACAAGTTTCCCATAATAAATCTTATATTATTTATGCCCATAATAATTATTTTTTGTTTAATTTATAAACTTGAAGATTCTAATTAAGTTGCTTATAATTAAAATTTTACTTGAAAATAATATATATTATATATTTTTGTCCTTCATACAATCCAGTATCACAAAATAATTTAATATTAATAAATTATGTGTGTATACGTAACTTGCCCTACGAGTGTATATTTATATTAAAAATATTATATATTTTTTATGAGAAAGAATATTTTTTTACAATATATTAGAAGATAAAACATAAAAAAGATAAATGAAAAAATAAAATTTGAAAATATAAAGATAAAAACAGAGTAACAAGTTAAGCAACCTAGAAAAATAATAGTTTATCCAGATAAAAGCGCTATTTTTCGAGTGTTTAAAAATACTATATACTCAGGTCTCAAATTTAAGACTTCTAATTAATAGAAAAAAGATCATTGTCATTCAATCTTACTTGTTGAGACAATAAATACATAGATTTTAACAAAAATAGAGATAAAAAAAAAATATTGCTCTTCCCAGAAAAGCAGTAAATCACGTGGATTAAGTAAATTTGATGTTACTTATTTGGAAATAAAAACAACCCCCTAAAATGATAGATATTAAAAAAACATAAGTAATAAAAAATGGGTGAAACTATAATACAGAATAGAAAAATTTAGTATCTATAAAGAAGTCTTTATATAATTAGATTTCAATAACTTCTATATCCACCATTAGATTTGATTAAAATAAGAATACTTACTACTTACAGATTAGGTTAATAATAAATTAATATTATTTTATTTTATTTATTATTATTATTTAAATGAGAGATATCTAAAAAAACATAAGATACGATTAATAACTAACGGCCAGTGTACCGCTCGCTGAGTTTCCGTCCGGCCTCTACCTCAGACTAGAACCACCTTCTCAATTCCCAGTATAGAATCCAACTTACCAACTTAGCGCCCCATCACATCTCCGCCTCTACGAGTATCGCGCAGTCACCAGACGGAACGGTCAGTATGCGAATATATACCGCTATCTGCATGAATCCCGATCTTCGATCAACCTTCTCTCGGACGCGCCACATTATCACACGATGCTGCCTCGCATGATGTGTGTGTGCAGCACCTTTCGCCAGTATCGTATAAAGAAGTCCTTGTATATAATTAGATTTCATAACTTCTATCATGTCCACATGATTTGATTAATAATAAGAAATTAGATTTGATTAAAATAAGAATACTTACTACTTACAGATTAGGTTAATAATAAATTAATATTATTTTATTTTATTTATTATTATTATTTTTATAAAATATTATATAATTTTCAATTTTAATATTTCTAAGGACACGAAAAAACATTTGTTCTCCTATCCAATAAAAGATTTAATTTGTTTTTCTCTTTAATATCATAAATAAGCTAACTATTATTAAAAATAATTTAATATTTTCACTATTAAAATAATACTATCCGTATTTTGTAACTTAAACTCTTATATTAGGAAAAAAAAAAGTGAAGTGTATTTTGGCAATTTATTTTATGTCAATATACCTTCCACAATTAGATTTATTTTAAAATTTTTATTATTAGATTTATATTATTTTTAACTAAGATATAATTATAGGCACCATAATTATTTTAAAATTTTACATCATTATCAATTAAAAGATACTGTTATTCTCTCAAAAAATTTAGTTATAGGTGAAATATAATTTTTATTAGTAGAAATATGATATGAATTTTTATTATCTTTATAGATTATTGAATTTCATAGCTTTTTCTACAGTATATACTGTTATTTGTATTTTTTTAATATATAATATTTTTTTTATAAAAAAAAGTTATTGAACCATTTTTTTTATTATGAGAAAGACCAAATAAATTTTGTACTAATTAAAAAGAATAGTTTATTCAGAAAAATTTGAAAAAAAAAAAAAACTCAAAAACTACTTAAAAAGAATAGTTTGCTTGCCACATGTCATTGAATTGTAAATTATATAGAATAAGTGTTTCTGTATAGTACGAAAAATCATAAAAAAATTGATAAAAAATATTTTTCCATTATAATTATTTCCTTTATCTTATTTTGGTATTTTTTTTACTGACGTAGCAGTGAACTAAGAGCCTCATGCGCTAAGCCATCTGCTGCGTTAGCGTTGCTCACTGTTTTGGGAAAAATTTACCTAAATTGATCCATTGCCACGTTTGGAATTAAATCGATAAAATTAAAGATTTTTATTGAAACGAGAGTATTTATAATTAAAAAGAAAATCAAACAGTTTTGATAAATTTTTAATTCCATTGATTTAATCCACAAGTGAAATCATGATCCAGTCTGAGTACGTTTTTTTTTTTTTTTTTTTTTTTTTTTTCTGTTTTTATAAAAATTGACATTTTTAAAAAAAGTCAACACTTTGGATATTTTTTACAATTTGTGACTATTTTTCTTTATTTTTTATTAAATGGATACCGTAGGATAGTAGTGTGCAAATGAATTGTTCAGTTTTGAGTCAAATTAATAAGAATTTTTTTTTTTTTTTTTTTCTGTTTTTATAAAAATTGACCATTTTTAAAAAAAAGTCAACACTTTGGATTATTTTTACAATTGTGACTATTTTTCTTTATTTTATTAATGGATACCGTAGGATAGTAGTGTGCAAATGAATTGTTCAGTTTTGAGTCAAATTAATAAGAAAATGACAATCTAAGCCTTAGTCCTAAAAAATGAAATGCTTTTGTAAAAAATTTTTTGAAAAATAAGTCTTAAAAACATATGATATATTAACAAATATAATAAAGCATGAAATAGACAACAAATAATTCGGTTCTCTTATATAAATATTTAGTCTCTAAATTATTCTGTTTGTAGCTATATCCTCGTTAATATCTAAAGACCGTAAATCATATCATTAGTAGTAACTCTCCTTCAAACAGTTCTAACTATATTCTTTATTTTGAACCATAAAAGTCAAAACCCTAATTTGGAGGTTTTTATTGAAATCAAGCTGCAAAAAAAAAAAAAGTCTAGAAATTGGACCATAAATGTTAGTTAGATTCGATATCGATTTGATCAAACACTTTTAATTTTATTTAGAAATAATTGTTTTACTATAACCGAGCGAAAGACAAACAAAAATTATATATGATTGAGAACTGAAATCAAAATCAAAAATCAAATAATCAAATTATAAAATCGAACTAATTCAATTTTATTTTATTTTTTCTATTTTATTAAAGTATGCTCACCCCTAAAACAATTTTTTTTTCTTAGCAATTATTACTTTTATTAATCTGTAATAATCCAACTTAGCAAATATTTTATTGACCCATTGAATATCTTAATTTATAAAATTAGATCGACTAAATTCTTATCGAATAGTTGAAAAATGTAAAAATAATTGTTCCTATATTAACCACATACCAAATCAATATTTTTCATATAGAAGTCAAAAGTCTTAAAAATTATTTTTAGCACAAAGTGTAAAATTATTATATAAAGTGAAATTCAAGATGCCACAAAATCGATTTTAAAATTCAGGACACTATAAAATTTTTTCGTTAAATTCATGATTAAATATGTTCCAGCCTCAAAGAGAGTAATCACCGAGCTTTCCTTCATTAGTTACCAATTCAACTAAAGAAGACATGGAAAGAAAGTCAGAAGTATCAAAGATGACATGGTAAAACTTGTTAAATGCCAATGATAAATGAGGTCGACAGTGGTGAACTTGAGCCACGATTGAGATTGAGTCCAATTAGCTGAATTCAAAAGAAAAAAACAATGGGTATGATTGTCAAAGAAAATTTAATTAATAGCTAAACGCGAATAAGGAATGCCCTGTACCATTGCCATTTCTCCCGCAGAAGAAAACACATTAGACATGCCTTGACTAAGAAATATAACACAATCCTTAATGCGTAAAGATAATAGGAAGTCATAAACAAACGGAAAATGCCATGCAGGACATGCAACTCAAGATGTCAAATAATGTGCATTTTCAATGATGAGAAAAGAAAAAAAAGAGTTCATTTGTTCAAATCTAGTCTCATTCCAGAATCAAATGCGTTCGCAGTCATTCCTCCATCAACCGCTATAACCTGTCCGGTAATGTATGAAGCAGCTGGTAGGCAAAGGAATGCAACTAGGGATGATACTTCTTTTGCTTCTCCAACTCGCTGAAGAGGAGTTCGAGATACTACCTTATCTAAAAACTCTTTGTTATCAAGCAACTGCAGGGAAAAACATGGAAAGATGAAATTTTCCGTAGCAAGGATTATCGACAAAATTTAGTAGCAAACCATTTAGTTTACTGCAAATCATTTGAATCCTTTGAGATACTAAAATAATCCACTTCTCCATTCATATGGAACATTTGCGTAATCAATTTGGTACGGTTAATTGGAATATCAATTATCGGTCCAGACTAAAAAGTAACATATTTATGGAGATTTGGAAAATAAAGCATAAATTACAATACGAGAGGACAGAAACAAAATTGTGATTTGATTCAACCCTTCTAATTTTTATGGTCATGATGAAAGAAACCAAAGAATTATCTGTAGTCAATTCAGCTCGATTACAGGTTGCAGAATAGGTAAACTCAGAAAGGTCATCACACCAAGCAAATTATGCTTTTGTACAGTATAAAATTTGAAATAGTTCCCTATTGTGCATGAACAATGCTGCACATGAACACTCCCTATTCCCTAATGTGGCTCTAGGGCTACAAGGAAGACTTAAAAACTTGAACTTATGATGTTTAGTTCAGGAGGCATTGCAGGGAACTGTTCTAATCCTCGGGGTTAAGTTGCAAGCATATTTCTTTTATGCAATAATTGCTTTCCTTGAAAGTTGACCAAAAGGTCAAATGTTACTGAAAGCAGCCTTTCTACATCTATAATCAATATTTATAGTTTAATAGGTTTATTTTTAGAATGTTTACTGACTTGCACACTTGAATTATGGATGCCGCCAAATATCCACTCGCTGTTTATGGTTTTCTATGTTGTCAATGGTGTACAAGCCCTATCTGAGATGAATAAATAATTGAAATATATGCACATTTAAGGTTGTTCCATTTTTTGCAGAAAGAAATTCAACTGCTCTGAAGTAAGGGTGGTATACTAATATTTCAAAAGGGGAAAATATGCCATGCAAAAAAGAGAAGACAGAAAAAAACAAGATAAGTAGGATAGAGAACATTACATTTTCCACAAGTGAGGTTTTGATATACCAAGGTGCAACACAATTGGACCTGATATTGTCTTTTGCCCACTCACAAGCCAAATTTTTTGTTAGTTGATTAATTGCACCTGAGAGCAGCAAAGTTGTATATACACTTTTAGGTGAGCAAATTAATTGGACCCACCAAATTAAAGTTTCTGCTTGGGCCAAAAACGATTCTAGTTTACAACAACTCACCTTTGGATGCTCCATAAATCGATCCACTTCCTATGTGTGCAAGACCTCCGACAGAGGAAATGAATACAATGCTTCCCACCCCTGATGCTTTTAGAAGGGGATGTGCAAGTTGGCATAGATGGTAAGTAGTTTCTAAGTTAGTTGTCATGAGTTTTGCAAATTCTTCAGCAGAGTACTCAATAGTTGGCTTCCTGATATTTGTGCCAACATTGTTGACCTGAATGAAAAGAATCAACTACACTAAATCTCTGAAAACAACAGAAAATGATAGCACCCTTTAAGGGTGATGCACATATAATATCTTCGTAACAAACCTAAGATTACATCTAAATAATAATAATAAATAATAACAATAAGAAGAAGATAATATCTCACTAGAATGACATCATATTAACAGGCAGCTGCCTTCTTAAAAAGCCAAATTCCTAAAATACTTGCATAACAAATACTCAAAACATTGTTCCACTGGATATAAATCAGCTTAAATAGCATCTATTTATAAAAATATAAGTATCTTCTAAAATACCATAAGTAGTCAGATAATCTTTTTTCTCCTTTCTTCTCAAATACTTGATAAAAGCATCCTGGTGAGTTGAACGATCCTCTGAATTTCAATGATTCAAGTGTTGAAATCAACAATTAAGGATAATCCTTTTCCTAGTGAAACATATTATATATAATAAAGAAACTTCATCAGTTTTCTCAGCTTATATTCCTCTTAATACATGGACCTGGGACCATGAAAAGTAAGCATAGTGGTCCGAAATGAATCTTAGTTTTTGATCTAACTTTAATATCTGCGTAAACAAAGAAAAAACATTACTTTCTTTTGACTACCATGAAATCTAATGTAGACATTAGAATCCTGCCTCCTGAACTAAGAATTAGCCATTTTATAAGTCAGAGTAATTCTAATAATTCTAATAATTCAATATAGCAACATTTCTCTAAGAATTAGCCATTTTGTGAGAGTAATTCTATAATTCAATATAGCATCATTTCTCGATAGAATCCGGGCAAAACAAAACAAATCAAGATTAATACCCGATTCTAAACGGTATTCTAACAAGATGAAACCTGAACAACCAATATATACAATGTCATTAAATATTTTATAGATTAGTCTGTCCATATATATATAAGAATATCCAAAGTTCCAAATACTTAGAATGGTTCTACAATCAGGATTGAAGAAAACATAGTTCAATCAGTAACATCATTCAAGACTGAGCAAACATTCAACAGATGGGACTATCACGAGATTACTCACAAGAATGTTGAGACTGCCACTAAAAGCAGAACCCACTTCCCTGATCAGATTTTCTCTCTGTTCTCTAGAGGATGCATCACAAACTGACCCAGTGACCAAAAAGCCCTTAGCTTCCCACTCTTTCAAGCACTTGCTAAGCTCTGCTTCATTTCTTGAACATGTATGCACCCTAGCTCCAAGCCCAGCAAGCTCCTCCACCGTTGCATATCTATAAAATTAAAATCCCATAATTAAATACAAAAAAAAAACAATCATTTTATGAAATAAGTATTACTAAAATCAGACAAAAAAAGTGGGAACTTTATAATTTGACCAAGAAAATAAAAATGAAGAGAAAGAGGGATACCCGATTCCACGAGTGCCACCAGTCACAAGAGCAGTCAATCCTTGAAGAGACCATCTTGGGTCCTTGAAACTACACTCTGCCTTCGCCATGGTTGTGTTTATATTTCTGCTTGTTGATAGGAAAATGATGATGATCGTTGCACTGAACCACGCACACAAATTCTTGTAAACTTTCAAAATTAATCATATACAAATCCACAGTGGGCTCCCAACTTTCGATTAATACAAACACATCGGCAATGGTTCGAACATATGGGCCTGATATTAAAGGTTACATTTCTTGCTTGACACAATATTTGAGGGCTTCAATCTTTGAGGGACGATTTGTCGTTCGACGACCGAGTTAGTTCTTAAGTCTTTATCTTGCCTACATATGAATGACACGTCGTCTTAGAAGTATTTCCGTTTTAAGACCGAGTTGGTCGTCTTAGGGAGTTTTGGCTTTCGTTGCTCGAGGTGAGGTGTTTAGAACTATTTCCGTTTAACGGTTGACATCTCCGCTTGCTCTTAGAGGTAAAAAGACCGTTCCATAGTGAGTTTGCGTCGCAGAGAATTAAATTTATGACACAAGTCATGGTGACGATTCTGTAAATATTTTTTGTAATTAAACTACCTCATTCGAGTTAGGTAAATAATTTTTTGATCAACCTTGGGTTGTTTTCGTTGACATTTTCATGATATTTGTGGAATTTTATACTATGATTGTGTGTTTAATTTCTTCTCTTGGATTTAATCTTCCCATTTTAATATATATATAATTAAGATTGAAAATTAAGTGTTACTATAAGTAATAATTAGCCTAATTGTGGAAATGGCTTAACATTCAAATAATTGGTGGACCTATTCATGCTTTGCTGTAACTTCCATGTATAACAACTGCATGTATATCTAGGACCTACGTATAATCTAAATATATAGAAGAATGACAAACATTATGTTTATGGATCGATAAAAATATTATTGAAAATTTAAATTTTACTGATTGAAAAATAAAGATAATTAATTTTAATTGGTAAGATTAATTTCATGTTTAAATATAAATGCTATTGTATAAAATAAGAAGTTATATTATTATATATTAAAAATGATAAGAATTAATATAATATATTTAAGAATTTTAATTTTAAAATTTTAAATTTACTGATTCGAAAAATAAAGTATTAATTTTAATTTGGTAAGATTATATTTCATGTTTTACAATTATAAAATGCTATTTGTAATAAAATAGAATTATTATTATCTATTATTTTAAAAATGATAAGGAATTTTAATATAATTATATTTTTAAGAATTTTTAATTTTATTTTGATTATATATTTAAGAATTTTAATTTTATTGATTGAAAAATAATTAAAGATTAATTTTAATTGATTATATTAATTTTCTATTTAAATCTAAATTGTTCAAAATATCATAATTTATAACAAAAAAATTAAAAAATTATTTATATAAATTAAATTATATTTATTTTTAACGAGTAAAATGAGTACAAACAACGCGTAACGAACCTTTAAAAAAACTAATAAAATAAATTTTTTTTTTTGCAAGTATATCTAACGCTTTTTCGAATATGAGACGATTTTCATTTGGAGTTCATAGGTATCCATTTTTATAAATATTTTTTCATGGATCGAACCTCTATAGTAGAGATGGCTAGACTTATCACATGAGCCCGGTCCTTATAAATACAAACATTCATAAAATATAAAAACAAAAACACAGTTGTTCTTCTTCTTCCTGCTTTATATTCCTTTCTTTGCCTATTATTAGGTTGGTTTTAAATTTTTATCCATCCCAAATTAACTTTACATATAAAAGTAGTGTTTATCCCAACTATCCTTGTATATGTACAGTGAAGGACTTGAGCTTTTTCTCAGTTGATTTCGGTTGTTTTCCGGATTTTATTTAACTAATTTAAATCTTATTTTGAGTGTATTGAGAAAGTCTATTGGTTTGGTTTGTGTTAGATTCCTCAATTAGTTTTTTTTTTTTTTTTTTTTTTTTTTTCGTTTTCTCTTTTCTTAATTTTTTTTTTTTTTTTTTTTTTTCGTTTTCTCTTTTCTAATAATATTAAAAAAATTTTTGCTGAAAAAAAAAACCTTGTATATGTACAGTTGTATGTACGTATATTCTACTGTACTTTGACATGCACTAACATGCCAAAAGAGCAAGGTAAGATCTAATCCATAAGACCAAAGCTCCATCTGCACTCAATTCAGAGTACTTTACACTTTCTTCAATCCACCAGTATCTATACTGCAACAGAACAGCAAAGAAGAAAAAAAAAAAAAAAACTGACAAAAAACAATAAAACTATCAGAGATATATACTAAATATAAATACTAACAATTTTCAGAAGAACCCCATATAAAGAAAGCTGAGATATAGAGAGAATATATGCCTCATCCATATTCATTCTTCTCTGTACATATTTATTTATATTTATGCAATGAATCTTTGAAAGCAACAGAGAAACAGACGTATCATATAATGGGCCATGTGCACTTCTGCAATTCTCTCTTTAATACACCACTCAGACTGTCCATATATAAATAACTAAGCCATCCAATTAACTATTGCTCTGGGAAAAAAGAAAAAAGAAGAAAAATCATCTATATACTAGATAAAACAAAACCCTCCAACCAATCCTCTTTAACTTCTCTTACACAAATCAAGTACTTCATAGAACCCAAGTAACTAACCTCAATTTCCTTTTGTATCTATCATTCTAAACTTCGGAAACACAGGAAAGCTATGAAGGATGGACAGAGATTTGAGACTATTCATAAGCCAAGATATTTGAAAAAAAAGTTTTTTTCAAAATTTTTTACAGTTTTATTCTTTTCTTTCCCAATAAATTATTAAAAATACTCTTATTTGAACAAAAAAAACTGTTCTTGATTTGATTTGGTATATCGGATAGGTTTATACATCGAGTGTAGGTAAATTCTTTCCGGACTACTTTAGACTTTGAATGTAGTTGGTTAACTTAAATTCCCTGTATTATAAAACATAGAGCATAGCTTCATCTCCCAATGAGTTGCATTAAGTCAAAAGCGATGTTTCATTAATTTCCCTTAACAAGAAACGTGGAAAAGAACAAGAATGCAACACTAAGAACTCGGCGTGTATTGTGGTGGAAGAACCATCGATCTACTATATATAAGAACCATCGATTCTACTATATATACTATATATTATTATATATATATATATATATATATACTATATATCCATTAGCCATAGGTCTTTGAAATTTTGGGTATAGTAGGCTCTTCTACTTGTAGGGTTGGTCGTTGGAGCATAGTAACACGTTACTTACAAAACTAGAAACAAAAGACCGCGTTAAAATAGTGCCAATTGGTGTGATTTAGGACATGTCTGTTTCTTAATTTATTTTTTGTTTTAAATACTTATAGGCACCTAAGTTTATACTATATATATATAATATATATATATATATATATATATATATATATATTTTATATTTGCTTTGTAATACTTCATTTAATTTGATTCCATAGAGTTGGTGACTTGTTTTGGACCTTTTATAGGAAGAGATATTTATGTGATTTGGGAGTTCTAAAGCTAATATTTAGCTATCATTAAGTTAACTCTCATCGTAAACAAATGTTCTTTTTAAATTTTGTCAGAATATATTTTTTAATTTATACACGTGTTTATGCTTGGTTCAACTCACATTCGATTTTTACGGCATTATTGTAAAAATTATATATAATATAAAATTTTAATTTATATAAAAAAGAGTAATATTTTTTCAAAGTTTAGGCTCAACCACAAACAAGTCTAATCGAACCATCAAGTCAAATTAATTTAATTTAAGTGATGGGATTTATTAATTACATAAAGGGGAAAAAAGTGCAGGAGTAACAGAATTTGGAGAAGGTAAAGAAACAGGTAAAAAGAGAATTCATGTTGTGATATGACTCTTTTGTAATGTATATAGTATAAAGCATATGTAGCTGAAGTGACTTACTGTCAGTTCTTTAATCCCCACTGTCAAGTGCTTTTTTGTTTTTAGGTCAGAGTGCAATTATCTAAAATGTTTCCTATCAATCTTAATCGTAAGATTAAAAAGATCAAACTTTAATTGCCAACAGAACTGTTCTTCACGTATATTTAGCAACCGGAATTAAATTTAATGATATTATCTTTTTTTTTTTTCCTATATCTGTAATGAGTCATAATCTTCTATGATTAATTATATATATATACAAAAATGAATTACAAAGGTATTCATCAAGAAATTTAAAAAGAGGATAATAAAAACAAATCTACTTTTTTAAGTCAATAAATTAATTCAAATTGTATAAAAATAAAGGACGAGTCATCAAATTAATAATCCTCTTTCTTTTTTATTTTTATTTATTTTTTATTTTTTTATTTTATCTGAGTGTGAACTTGCAGTTGACTAATGGTCATTTAGTGTGCCAAAAAAGCATTATTAATGGTTTCCTTCCTTTCTTGGCAACAATATTTTCTTTCTGTTTACACTCGTAGATTTGGGTTGATTCGAAATGTCCATCTCCATTAAAACTTTATTAAACAAAATTCCATTTCTTTTCGTAAAATAACTTGTAGAAAAATATTTTTCATAATTTTTCATTGTATGGGGTGCTCAGAAAAATAAATCAAAGGAAAATATTTTCCGTGTCAAAGAAAAATTAAATCATTTTTTAAAGAAAGCAACTTACAATTTTCGAAAGAGTAAAATATTTTTCGGATATTGGTAAACCTTATAAATTTATATTTTTAATTTATTAATTATCATAATTACTACCACCAGTCACCATTTACCACCGGCCATCACCACGGTCCACCGGCGGCTTTCATAATTTATATTTTTTTTGCATTCTTTTCGTCCACCGGCGGCTTTCATAATTTTATATTTTTTTTTCTGCATTCTTTCTTTCGATTTTATTTAAAAACAATAAAATTTTTAAATTATAAATGTTTCTAGTTATTATTAATCATTTGTTATGGGCTATCGAGATAAAGTATTTTAAGTATGTTTAAAACTAATTTTCAATACTACAACCAAAACAAACGGAAATTTCTATTATTATTAATATTTTTTATGGGCTTATGAGATAAATATTTTAATATTTTAAACTAATTTTCAATACTACAACCAAACAACGGAAAATAAATCATTTGGAAAACATTTTCAAGGAAAATATTTTTCATGAAAATATTTTTTAGCAGTTTATTTTATGGAAACAAATGGAGCCTAATATTTTAAAAGTTTTTTCTCAACTTCATTAAAGATTGTTTCAAATATTATTTAATTCTCATTAAAGATGAAAAAAATGAAAGATTTAGCAGAAAAAGTACATATTGCAGCTAACCTCAATTGGAGAATTATGGATTATAACTGAGTTTTGGCAAAACAAAATAATTCTACAATCAAATAACTAATTAAGCATATGAAAAACAGAATATTTGAAAGAAAAGATTTAATTTCATTCTACTCAAATTTTAATATTTATACAAGATCTTAATAGAGGCATTTGCCTCTCATCCATTAGATAATCAAAAGGTAAAAATAAAGTAGATGGAAGATTAAAAAAAAAAGAATTAAAAGCAAATTAAGATGATTAATATTAATTTTCTTTCATCTTAATTATTAAAAGAAACTAAAATTGCATGCACTAATAAATAATACTCTACTACTTCACTTTTGGTGGCTCTCCAAGCCTGAGCTCAAGATCTATATCTTCCATAGAAACAGATTTAGCCTCAATTACTTCTGGTTGAAGACTGTATCTGTCACTTGAGCATGGCTTAATCAAGAAAGACACTGTCGAAATCGCGGTCTTTGGCCTTTTACAGCTATTATCACCATTAGAACCAATTAGAGAATTAAACCCCTTGAACAACTCAGCTTCAACAAAACCATCATGATCAGACAAACTTCTTGAATCTTCTTCTCTTGGATTCTTCACAGGCTTTGTATCATTTATGTTTTCTTGAGTAGACAAAGCAGAAATCCTAGAAGATGAAGAAGGAGAGGTAACAATGTTACTAGAGGTAGAATTAAGGATAAGATTGTTATAGTTTTGGGTTTGAGTTTGATGAAATTGAAAATTTTCATGATTTTGCTTAAGCCTAGCTCTATCTCTTCTATGAACATTCATGTGACCACCTAGGGCTTGAGCTGACCTAAATTCTCTTTTACAAAAACTACAAGAATAACATCTCGGAGGCCATATGCATCCACCAAGAGAACCTGAAGCATCTTCTGCAAAAGCTTTCTCTTCCCAAGAAAATTCATTAACGGAGTTTTGCCAAACCTGAAATTTTGATTTCAAGAATTGTGATCTCCTCTTCATCCACATCAAGTACTGAGTTTGCTCCATTTTGACTAATCAAGAAACAGAAAGAAAAAGAAAAAGAAAAGAAAAGGAGCAGGATTTCTTGATAGCAACTGCTTTAATGGAAGGTGTAGAGGTTAAAACACAGGAAAAGAAAGTGAAGCTCTTTATTGATATATCTATATTTATATATATTGAATACATGAAAGGTCCTTGAGAATCTAAAAATGATGATGAAAGAAAAAAGATGGGACTAAAAGGTCTTATTATTTGTCATTTGCAGAGAAGCTATATATAAGCTGTTGTTGGCTTTTAACTGGTTTTAATATACTCAGTCACTATTAGAAGGTATTATATATTTTGGGAATTTTGGGAGAGGACCCATTGAAGCAACTGTCAAACCATTCCATATACACATGCATGAAACACCTAACAGCCACTAATAATGGAGGAGACATTAGATTATATATCTTATTGGCTGCAATATACATATAATTTATTTTCTGGCACTCTATAGCTTATATATAGGGGCAGGGATGCAAATGGAGTTATATGAATGGGGTCAATTCATGTATATATACTTGACAATGAAAATAAAATTAATTATTAGTAAGGACAAGAAGGAATTTTGCTAATCTTGTTTTTTTTAGTTGATTATATGATAAATATCCCTAAGTAATTTTTAATCCTCTTTCACATATATATAGACATAGTTTGACTTTCATATGGATTAAGAAAAATTAATTAACATAGTTTTTTTTTTTTTTTGAATATTAGGCAATGAGGATTCAAACATGAATCTATTGCCAAGTCGTATATGCACTTACCATTAGACTATACCTTATTGTGTATACTAATTAATAATTTAATAAAGCTGAATTATAGCTTTTTTTTAGCTTTTTTTTTTTTTTTCAAAACATCCCTTTATAATATTAAATGATGGACATCAATTAGGAATATGGATATACATTAAATAGGGTATGTTAAGAAATCAGATGATAAATGATCCAAAAGAAAAAGTGAATATATATATATTAAAGTGATGGAGCCATCCAAATTAGGAATATGGAATATACATTAAATAGCGGTAATGTTAAGAAATGCAGATTGATAAATGATCCAAAAGAAAAAGCTGAATATATATAGTATATATATATATATATATATATATATATATATATATAGTATATATATATATATAATATATATATAATATAAGAGGGATATAAGAGGGTGTATTATTCAATTAAGTAATTTATAATATTTCAATATTTTTTTATTACCATGGACACCAAGATATAGTCTAATAGTAAATACATATACCACGTTAAAATAAATTCAAATTTGAATCACACTCTTTCAATACTCAAAAAAAAAAACATTAATATTTTATTACCATGAATATTTTTACATTTTTGAGTATAAGACTGTTCTCGTTTTAGAGTTGGTAACTGCTTGTGCCCATAATTTTTTTTTCAATATTTTGTTAGCAAGGTATGCATATGATTAATAAAAACATTAATCATGATTGTCAATATATTTTAAACATTTATAATTCTTTTTGGTGTCATCTTTATATTTATATATATATATATATATATATCATAATACCAGTTATTTTTATAAAAAACTTATTATTAAATGTTCTTGTTTTTTTGGGTGTCATTCTTTATATTTATATATATAATATATATAATATCTCATACCTATATTATTATTATATATTACCATATATAAATATGATTGAGGTATTATACTATATATCAAATATAGAGAGAATAAGTGAATATATATATAATTAGAGAGAATAAGGAAATAATTAATACATGCAATTAAGCCTATTGCATTATACTATATACAGTAGATGCGTAGGAGACATGTACACCTACCCAGGAAGACTTAAATCATGACAGGACAAGCACTCAGAAAAGATTTTATTGAAAAAATCGTAAACATACGATAAATATGTTTGGAATCAATAATATATATGCATGCATTTTATCAATAATAATATATTCAGTAGGTATTTGTCATATCTTATTGAATCTTCCAATTTCATCAACTCAAAGGTTGCTTTTACTTCTCTCAGTGCAAAGGTTCCAATTATTCCTTTTTGCAGTATACACGTATTTAATTAATTAAAATGATTAAAACACATTTATAAGATAAGATAGCTTAATCACTCTTTGATTTAATCAAATCACACTTATCTTTTTGTATGTTTACTTATATGGGTTTAATTAGAATGTATTCATGTAATTAGTATGACAATTTTATCATTTGTTTAACCCGATTATTCTTCATCTCTTTCACTTTGAAATAATTTATATTTCTTTTTCTTTTTTCTTTTCTTTTTTAGATTTATACTCTCTCATTTTCATGTAATATGATAAGTCAAATGGGCTTGAAATTACATTATAAGTCACACAACGGGAATAACTATCGTATTGACTCAAGTAAATTGATGAAAATTCTTATTGTCAAATTACTCGAACCCAAGACTTTTTATTTCCTTCGTTCTCATAGAAAGTAAATTAAAGAACAATTAACCAAATTACACCTAATTATTAGCAATTGATTTTTCTTTTTAAATCTATGTCTTTCTATTATTATTATTATTATTATTCTTTCCTTTCTTCAGATTTTTAATTCTCTCATTTGCTTGCAACAATATATAATCATGTTTTTTTCCCTTAAAATTCGTGTCTCAAGATTTTGAAATAAAGTGAATATAAAGACAAATAATGAACTTAAAAGTATTAATACACTTTTGATTGACAAAACATTAATATTTTGCTTCATATATCATTTAATCTGAACTTAAAAAGATAAAACTAATGTTAAGATTACAATTAAAATGAGAGAGAGAGGAAAATTAAAAAAAAAAAAAAAAAAAAAAAAGAAGTTCCTGAAAACTAAAGTGAATCATAAAGACACCTTAATTTGAAATCTTGAAAAGTATTATACACTTTGGATTGACAGGAATCATATTACACTATTTGTTCTTCATAATATCAATTTAATCCTGAACTTAAAAAGGATAAAAACTAATGTTAGATTACAATTAAAATGAAGAGAGAGAGGAAAATAAAAAAAAAAAAAAAAAAAAAGAAAGAAGAGAAGAGAACTAGTCTTTAGCTTAGAAATAAAAAATTCATGTGAGTTCAGGTGTATTGATTTTGAAAAAAAAAAAAAAAAAAAAAAAAAGAAGAAGAGGAAGAAGAACTATTTACAGAAAAAAATTTCATGGAGTCGGTTTGATTTTGATTTTGATTTTGAAAAAAATTGTAATTGATGTTGTCTCTTACATATGAGTTTTGCTTTTTGTTTGGCATACAACTAGCTACCTTAATTAACAAACATGAGACTTTACGTCGGCTGAATTGAAATGAAATGAGACAATTAAAGAAATGACAAGCCACCTTATTAACGTATTGGATGGAGGCACTAAGGAAACAAAGCAACAATTAACATAAATAGATTTTTTAAACTTGAGTTTAAACATAGATTTAAGGAAAATTAGCGGTCCAAAATGAATGTAAAAGTATTATATAGACAAAGAAAACGACTAATTAAATTTGACGGAACTCCTTTCAATTAATTAACAACTTATTCCATCCTAAATATGTGATTCCACGAAGCAGGATAAACTGATCTAAATGTATTCCAACATATAAGGAGACAAAGTTCCTCTTAGGAGTTTATATTTGTTATTATCATTCAAATAGATAAAGATATTATAAACTATATTAACTAGTGGTCTAATTGGTAATGATTAATCACTTTTGCATTGTGACATCTTGACCTAACAAAACAATCTTAAGAGGACGGTAGAGTAAAGCTCCTGGCTAGCTTCTAGGATGACAGACTAATTATGGATAATGGAACGTGAAACACACAAATGAATCGAATTATATATCGAAATGGGAAAAACTAATCATTAAAAACACCTTTTTGTGAAATGACCTAGAGAGTTGAAAAAACTTCAAGATTGAGCGTGCTCGCCTAAGAAATCCTAGGATAGGTAATCTCTTAGGAAATTCCCCATTTCATCTGCAGGACAAATTGTGCAGGTATTGTCAATCTAGTATGGATGAAATTGGCTCGATTCAAAACAGACAATTCTTTGGTGGTTGAAGTCGGACGTGACATGCATTTAATTAGTTAATATAAATTTTAGCATATTCATGACGTAAATATATTATTTACGCGTAACATGGATGCATTTAGTTATATTAATATATTATTTACATCTAACATAAACGTGTTTCATTAGTCAGACACGTCTTATATAACTGTAATTAAATATATTTGGAATTATATATAAATAATCAACCTACTCATATAATCTTTACGTAAGATTTTCTCTTCACATATTATAATATTCTAATAGAAATATACATGATGAATGATTTGGATTAGGGTTTTTTTTAATTAATCAAACTATTGTCTATGCAAAAATGGGACCTTATTCTAAATTATGGGAATTAATGCACAATTGCTGGATGATTAGGGTTCTTGGAGTCAAATTGTGAGATCACATTAGCAACTATTAGTATATATATGATGGAATTTCAGCAATCTATCAATATCATAAACATTTTAACATAATTTTTGTCGAAAATTTGTTTGAATTATGCTATTTAACATACTATAGCTAGAATCATAAATTGAGACTATGGGTATAATGTCATTTGGCATCATATGAAAATCCTGAAGCATAAGAGATAAGATTTTAAGGTACTCACATTTCAAAAAAAAAAAAAAAAAAAAAAAGGCATCATAAGGCCCGACTGAAAAATCCTGAAGCATAAGAGATAAGAATTTTAAAGGTACTCACTATATTCAAAAAAAAAAAAAATAAAAAATGAAAAAGATTTTGAAATTACTCTTAAAATAATTATAAAAATTACTCTTAAATATTATAATTAAATGATTGGATAAGAACTTAGCTATAAAATCCCAGCAGGAAGCACGTGTTCACGGGTTGGCATCAAATTTTTTATAACCCTACTTCCTTATAGCTAGAAATGGAGGTGACTGATATATACACGAATTTTTTTTTTTCTTTTAGATCTTGACAGGCCTTTTTTTATAAGGCCGATGATATTCAGAAAAATAATTATTTCAACAGCAGCTGCTTTAGGTTTGAAACATTTAACTCTGTGTAAATATATAATGAAAGGATATGTTTTATTTCTACAAATCCCAACTGCTCGAAAATTT